GTGGATGCCGACCGTCGTGCCGGCAAAGGTGCCCACCCCCGGCTGGAACAGGGACTGGAAGTCGGTCAGGAGGCTCGGGACATCTTGCACCACGTGCAGCGCAGCTTCTTGGTACTCCGGCAGCCGAACACCCAGCGAGTGAATCCAGTTCCGGCCCAGCAGCGTCGGCGACGACCCCTTGGTTAAGTAAAGGGGAAGGATTGCCTCCCTGTCGCCAAGGCGAACGCTGACTTGGGCCCGACCCTGAACCTGGGAAAGCTGCCCGGAGTAGCTGCGCAGCATGACGTCAGACGCCTCGATGGACACGCCGGGGAATGTCCGCTTGAACTGCTTCCCGGCCATGACCGACACGCTGGCCCCTGTGTCCAGCTCCATGGTGATGGGGTGGCCGCAGATTTCGACAGACACCATGTAAGGTGGCACAGACGATGAAGGCTTACTCGTCTGCCACACGTCGAAAATCTGCGGGTCCTCGGCCACGACGTGGACCCTGGCTGAGGAGGTACCCGGACCTTGTACCGCTCGTCCCCGCCGCGTTCTTTTGCGACGACCACCCTGGCCGCGGGCTTGGCTGGAACCCGGGCTTGAACCAGGCTGCCGCCGCTGCTGCTGGCCGCCACTCGTCCTCCCCCCTCGGCAGACACGTGCGAGCTGCCCAGTTCTCCCACACGTAAAGCATTGTGCTTGGACGAACTGGCACTGTGAGGGGGAGTGGGCAGCACCGCAGCGGCTGCAGGCACCGCTCCTTGCCGCCATCTTGTTCACCGCCGCTTCCGTCGACGGTGAGCCGGCCGCACGTGCTATCTCGCTGGCGTCCTTCGCTGCTGCTTCCATCGCCAGCGCTGCCTTCACCGCGTCGTCCAGCGAGGGGTCGGGGAGCTCCAGGAGTCGCGTCTGCATGGCAGGGTTGTTGATGCCGCAGACGAACCGGTCCCGGAGTAGCGAGTCCAACTGGTCGCCGAAGGCGCAGGTGCTCGCTAACCCTCGTAGCGCAGCGACGAACTGCCCGAGGGTCTCCCCGTCCTGGCGGCTCCGGTTGTTGAAGCGGAACCGCTCCATAAGCGTGGACGGCGCCGGGTTGAAGTGCGAGCGCAGCGTGGCGAGCAGCTCACCCAGCGTTTTGACGTGCGGCGTGGCCGGCTTGAGGAGGTCGAGCAGGAGGCTGAAGACGCGGGTCCCGCAACTGGCCAGGAAGATGTCCCGTTGTTTCGCCTCCGGCGTGTCGTTCGCCCGGAAGAACACGTGGACTTGTTCTTCGTAGACTGGCCAGGCGGACCCATCTCCGTCGAACGGCTCGAGCCTCCCGTACAGCGGCATGGCGACAGGAGCGGGGGGCGGTGTTGCGACTCTCTCGGCGGCGTGGGCCGAACCGTGCACGTTGGTGGCCTCCAGTGCCACGGTTCCTCGTCGCCAGTGTCACGATCTTTCTGGAACGTGGACGAAGGGGGCCGAAGCACCCGCCGAGAAGAGACGACACGCAGCCTGGTTGAGGGTGGACGATGACTGACCGGAGCAGCGTGTGCTCAACGGTGTTTATTGGTGTGGTGAACAATGTTGCCCGCCGAGCCAGGCGGCCGCAGACGGGCGGACTGGAGGGGGGCGCTACCAACTTGTCACAGTATCAGCAACACATGAAATCTTACTTGGATCATCGCAGAGCGGTGCGAACACCTCAGTTTCACCCGGGCCAAGCTGTCCGTGTCTTCAAGCCCACTCATCAGAATAAACTTCACAGTAGATACACTGAACCACAAATGATACAAGCACAGCTAGGACCTGCAACATATCAACTAGCTGATGGTAGAAGATGGAATGCAGCGAAACTCACAAAAGCGGCACAACTGCCTTCGATACAAGTTTCTGACCAAGGCTGGGATGACGATGATGATGATGACGATAAAGGCTCTAGTGACCTCGCAGCGTCTGGTCTCTTGAGGAGACCCGGTTCTCCTGCTGCACGGGTGGCAGGTACAGCCCGCCATGCAACTCTGGGTTCTCCCAAGGGGCAAGATCTTCCTCCTGCATTCACTAGTGTCCATGGTCAGGGTCTTGCTGTGGACCCCGGGCATCTTGTGGCGCCCGGCAGCACTTCAGTGCCTGGGTCTCCTGCTACTGTTCCTGGGCCTGTCCTTCGGCATGTTCCTGTTCTTGGGCCTGTCCTCGGGCCTGCTTCCGTCCCTGGGCCTGTCCCCGGGCCTGTTTCAATTCTTGGGCCTGTCCCCAGGCTTATTCCTGTCCCTGGGCCTGTCCTCGGGCCTGCTTCCGTTCCTGCGCCTGTCCCCGGGCCTGTTCCAATTCTTGGGCCTGTCCCCATGCTTATTCCTGTTTCAGGGCTTGAACAGCCTGTGCATGTAAATATTGAATTGCCCATCCCCGATCTGGACGCTTTCCCAGATCCCCGTGAAGAACTTCTCAGTGTTCCTTTAACGAAGACGAGTACTCCTCTGGACGCTGGTTTCAGCACGCCATTGTCGACGCCTCCACCTGAAGACTCCGGTGACGAGACTACAACGGAATTACACGCACCGCCTTCGACCTCTGAGTCATCTAGAGCTCCTACTATATTTTCTCAGCCACGAACAGCACAAAGTCGACCAATACGCAAAAAAAGACTTCCACTGGAATTTAGGGACTACATCCTCGCAGTTAGTAATGGTAGTTTGGACTCGGACTCTGAATAATAATTAGAAAGGTTTTGTAGTTCTTGCTAGTTAGGTTTCCTGATAGTTGTCATTTGTTATGAGCTATGTTTACTTGCTATAGGAAATGAATCAGTCACTGTCATAGAAAATCCTTGGCCAAGGAGAAATGTCCATGACAAACACAAAACTACCAACATATAACACCACTAACAAAATAACGGCCAATACTGCACATGTGTCCTGGACATTTTTTAAATATAAGCGGAATGTGCGGGTGTACATATACGCATGGTGTTCTCTTTTTTTTTTTTTCAACAAAGGGGAAAAGTTTTATATGTAGACTTGATAAGATAATGAAACTGGTTGAACTTTTCAAAGTGTTGAGAAGTCGCAAGTGAGGGGTGGAACTCTTTTCATTTTCGTGTTAAAGTGCACAAGACTTTATATATAATGAACATTTTCCGCAAGGTAATTAACATTTTCACTTAGGACATTTTGTATATTCGTTAAGTTCGGAGACGTGTTAACTTTAGTAATTTGTTAAAAGGTCGCGAAGTGTTTAACGTACATTCTTATTCCACACCTCTCTCATAAATCGTTCAAGGAAGGGAGAGTGTAGTATTTACATTTGTCGGTCTTTTTAGTATTCTCAATGATGGCATAACAACGGACATCAGTTCTCTAATAAAAGAAGGTGCCACGCGCTGGCGGCCTCGAGGCCAGCGCTCGGTCAGACATTTTGCCAACACTCGAACAGGACGGTTGTCTTTCTTTTCGCCACCGGGTAAACCAGACAGGGTTCACTCAAGAAGACGGCTTCTCCGGCTCGGCCATGGAACACCGGCTTCTCCGTCCAATGAGTCCTTCATAGTTTTAGCGCCCCGTAGGCAGAATATTACACTGATGATGCTGATTTTATTTTTTATAGGTAGTGCTGATGGTGTTGATTTCTTTTTATTGCTCATAAATAGTGCTGAGTTCCGGGTTACGTTTCGACTTCATTATTACTGCTTTATGGTCAGTGAAATGCAAAGCCAGTGGTTCTTCTAGCGGATCAGCTTGGATCCGCTAGAAGCCGTGGGAACGCATCTCCATTGCTCAAGTCAACAATCCATGTCAGAAAGAGAGTGTGTGGTACGGATAGTGGTTATATACGCAGTTAAGCATTTGACCGCAGCGCCCTCTCGTCTATAAACGTTGAGCGGCTACATGCAACCTCTCATCCATGATATCCCCAGCTCTTGAGTTACTACCACATCTCAGAGCCCCCTACTCATCCCGCAGTCGTGGCCGAGTGGTTAAGGCGATGGACTAGAAATCCATTGGGGTCTCCCCGCACAGGTTCGAATCCTGTCGACTGTGCAAACATTTTTTGTTTTTTTAAGAAGGCAGATGGGATGGCAATCGATGTGAGCATGGACGCCGGACAAGGCTAGACCCTAAAGAGCTTCGCCCCTAAAAATATTCATCACAGAGCATGCTACAGTGGGTCTTTCTTTGAGCAATTCCCTGCAGAAAGGGGGGGGGGGGGGGTCCCTCTTTTTCAAATGAAAAGGCAGAATTGAGGGAAAGTCTACTCCTTTCTGCTTGTTGGTCGACCTTTAACACACTGCAGCTTGAAGCATGAAACAAAACCTCACGCTGCAGAACTTGGGTAACTACAACAAGGTGTGTAGTTGAGCTACCGTAGCTGGTTGGCCATGTAAAAATGGTATTAAAATGAAGCGAAAAGACGGATGACCAGTGGAAAGAGAATACAGACACAGCGTTGAACAGGGTAGGCAAAAAAAAAAATCAACCCAATAACACAGCCCTAACCCATCATGCCGACACACGCCTACACATACTTGCCTGACTTCCTGATAAAATCAACCTCGTCACTCACTAGGGCTAGGGATGCGCTTACACAAAAGCCCGCATCGTAGTTAGCAATAAAAAAGGCCTCATCAATTTCCCTGGCATTCCCGCTTCTGTGCCATGCTAAAATCTTAATGTCATCAAATAGCGGAGAACATGTACATCTATTACAATGGACCATCAGGTAGCCGAACCCAGGGGTCCTGGGTTCGGTCCCCACCCCCGACCGTCTCGATCTGGATGAGCAATGTACCAGCATGTGTGGTCGCGTTCCACTACTGCATGGTGCACCATTAAAGACCCCGAGCTAGCGGTCGTACCACACTGGCTAAATTCCTCGTCTACAGTGTAGACACCAGGCTAATTTCCTGATGTCTAAGCGCACATAGGACGCAGTCATTTTACAACAGGGCCGCACGAGGGTCGACGCTTTCCGGGGCCTGCCTGCCTCCCCCCCCCCCCCCCCCCCCCCCCCTTGCAACGAACAGAGGGGGCACTCGCCTTGAGCCAGGGCATCCTGGCGGCGATGGCGGCGGCGTCCTCTCCGTCTGCTGCGAGCAGGTCCACGGGGCTCTCTGGTGCTGGCTCGTCGCTGAGCACTCCCGGGCTCTCCTCCCCACTCACGTCCGCCCGCTCGCTCGTGTCGCTCCGGTCAGAGACCGCGCTCACCTTGCGCCGGGACTTGATGCTCTCCGTTCTCCTCAACCCTGTGGACACCCGAGCACGTCTCTAAATGCGGCTGAAACTGCTGAATGAGCTTAAAGTATCCACGCTCTGTTCCCCAGAATGTAACATAGAGTTAATAGAATAATCTGGATGGAAAAGTCCTGCAAATTTTGGCCACTTCGGACCGGCGGGACATAGACGTGGGCGTCGGTGGGCCCCAAGGGACCGTGTTGATGGCTACGCTTTGGTATACACAAAGAAGAAAAAAAGATCACTTGCATGGTCTGTATCTACGGCAGTGTTTTTCTGAATTTATTATGCAAAAAGCCGCCGGCGTCGCGCGTTGTATGACAATAAATGAGGTTGACAAGCACCCTAACAAGTTCCTCTTGTCACAACAAAACAGACATGCCAAACCTGTCGTCTGCTTTCTTTTCCCGGTTTTCTGTCGCTCTCTTTCTCGTTCTTCTATTTGGGACAACCGATGCCAGGCGCTTACAATTTGCCACTTTCTGCTCGTCTCTTTACCAGCCCCGTTTTGTTGCCTCGTGCAAAGCAGGAGGTGCAGATGGTGACAGTTATGATTCAAAAATGCAACTTCCTGGGCTTTACGTATGATGTCGAGAAGCTCAGACGACATTGTTTCAATCTGTCGCGGAATTCTTCGATATTTCTGAAGGGAAAAGCGTTTCTGTCACAGAGTGAGGCGTCGATTCTGTAGGTGTAACTTACTGAAGGGAAGCCGTAATTCTGCGGTGCCGAAAAATTCCTAAAAATTGTTTTTCAGGAATTATAGCGATCTTGAAATCTGCAACTATTTTTCTTCTGACCTGCCAAGTTTCTTAATTTGTGGATAAATATTTCAGACATAATATCAATTTATAATACCTAAGCCAGCTGATATTGCGCTGAAGTTGACGCTAAAACAGTGTTTTTGCAAAACACAAGCTGAGGATTTTGCAAAAACACTGTTTTAGCGTCAACTTCAGCGCAATATCAGCTGGCTCAGATATTATAAATTGATATTATGTCTTGCAAAACACAAGCTGTGGAGGGGGGATCGGTGGCCGAGTGGGCTAAAGCGCACACCCAGCTCGACGCGCGTGGAGCGAAAGCTCGCGCTGCAGAACCCAGGGATCCTGGGTTCGAGCCCCACCCCTACCCTTTTCGATCTGGATGAGCATCGTACCGGCGTGCGGTCGTGTATCACTACTGCGTGGTGCACGTTAAAGACCCCAGGCTAGCGGTTGTACTGCACTGGCTAAATTGCTCATCTACAGCGTGTGACTCGTCGCAACTTTAATGGCTGACCAACTACACGCTGTATAAATATCCCCACAACCCAATTATTACAAGCTGTGGACTTTTGCTAATGTCCAGTAAGGATATCTCATCATCTAGGGCAGATATAAATATGACTACTTCTGTAATACGTAGCTAACTGTGTGAACCATACTATGATGAAAGCTTGTCATTCAATATAGGCGTAATAAAAATTTTAAATGACCTGTTGTTTTATTGGTAGTCACACATTGAACACTGAACTTCAGTGAGTTGTAAAGTCACTAATAATGGTTCAATCTATAAAGTACTTCCAACACTGTGTTCTTAATACTTAGAGTATCTATAGTTTGTTGCAACTCAACAAGGTAGGGTGACGGAAAGGCAGGCCGGGGACGAAGAAGCAGACGCAACGCTGCAGAGAGGAGGTTTCCCCCGCTCCTTTCTAGCGTTTAGTCTGCTCCTTCCTCCCCGGCCTTCCTTTCCCTCGCCCTACCTTCTTGAGCGGTAACTTATTACAGCCATATGTTAGGACATTATTTTTATTGAATAGCTTTTCTCTATTGTGTTTGCAAACAAAGGCAGGCAAGTTAAATTATCCTGAAGACTGACATGATTTTAAAAAATTACCAGACATTTGAAAATGGCACAAACATCTGAACAGGCTTGTGCAGTTTCACTGGGCTTGGTAACAAAGTAAGCAAGAAAGCTCCGAGACCAGTGTTCATGCTTAGGCGGCTCTAGTCGACCCCACAAGGACGGCCACGGGAAAGATGTCATGGGCTCGGGGCACAAACCTCCCTCCTCCTCGTCTTCGGCGAACGTCGAGGAACGTGCCCGGGACTTGCGGTCGCCGGGCTTCTTCAGCTTGAGGCTGCAGCGCTTGAAGCTCGAGTTGTGGCCCGCACAGGAGCCCCCCGCCCTGCGCAGCAGGTGGGGACGCCCCTGGGCAATGCGCCGGCCTGCAGCGACATGGCTTTCGTCAGGGAACATTCTTTGACTTGTTCGGTCATTTCGAGAGTACTCCTTTTTATGGCGATAGATGTTATGGGCTCTTTTCTCCCGCCCCTCCTCGAAACGATGTTCGGTGCCCGTCGTGGTGTCACGGGACGGTGTGGTGTGACGTCATGGTATAACGTCACGGTGTAGCGCGACATAAAATTTAAAAGAACGTGAGGGCGCAATTTGGTGTGTACTGAACATTTTGAAGCAACTTGAGACTGAGGAAACACTAAAGTTGACACCAAAAGAAGAGGAGGAGAACGTTTTAAAGAGAGGAAGAACGTCTGTTTGAGATGTCCTCCTTCTCGTCTCTTGGTGTCACCTTTCGTATTTCCTGCCTCGGGTTGCTTCAAAATGTTAAGCTCCACAGAATTTCTATAGGCGCTCTATAAACCCCTTTTATTAAAAGCGGCGGAAGGGGGCGCTGTTGTCGACTGACATTCTGACAAACTTCCGGTCATACGAGGACAAACAATCCCCACCATAACGCCACTTTTGAGATGTTCGTGAAATATTTTACGACCAGGTGAATTACTAAAGGACCGGTTAGCGAGAGATTTGTTGGAGATTTTTTAATACACCCATAAAACAATCTATCCACTCTTACGCGTCTTATAGCGCAGCAGAGGGACATCGCTAGATCCCCAACTTCGCAATTTCTGTAGAATTTTATCGTCCCAGAAATTTTGACACCATCAGGCTTGGGAAGCTTGCCGAAATGGAGCGATCGAAGTCTCTGGGGGTCAAGAGATGGCTTGCGTTTATGAACAGTTAAGGTGTCCATAGACTTTATACGAAAACTTTAAAAATTAATATTAGAATTTCTACAAAATTTTATAGAAACAATCTATAGACATAAACACTCTATAGAAATTCTATATAAATCAAGTCTAGGGAAATTCTATATGAATCATCACTTGAGGTCATGATGTCATGTGACTAGCCACGCGACATCTCCTAGCAACCGTAAAGTTCCGAGAGAATGCCCGCCCCCGAGAAATCACCCATCCCGTTTTTCTGGCTAAATATCTGTAACGTAAAAATTTGAATACATCACCCACCCCCCCCCATTCCCGTCGGAGGTTACGCAATGTCCAAGGGGAATCGCAATAACCGAACGATTTGCTGTACCGGCACGTCTGACAAGCGAGTTCATAGCAGGTTCCCACGTTTTGCTTCAAGATCTGCATGCACGATATCGGCTTTCGTAACACGCGAGTTGTTCCCGCGTGTATGTTGCACCGTGAAATGCGAATCTTCTGCGTCCGCAATCTGCGGTATCCGTTCCCGTGACAACGTTTGTAGCGGATTCCCGCGTTTTTGTCCGCGATCTGCACGCGCAATCTCGATTCTTAGCGAGTTGGTCCCATGTGTATATTGCATCATAAAATATGATTCAGCTGCCTCTGCGATTTGCGGTATTCTTTCCCGTGAGATGAGAGTTCTCGGCGGGCTTCCGCGAGTCCTTCGCAACATGAAATGCGACCTGCGGTATCAGTTCCCACGTCACGTAGTTTGTGGCCGGTGCCAGGGTGTTCATCAATAATTTTTCATAAAGTTTTGCTGTGGCATCCGCAAAGATGGCCCAGCCCATGTTTTTCACCATTTATCTCTTCATTTTGGGTGGGCGTTCTTTCGGAACTTTACGGTAGATAGTTTCATAGTCATAGAAGAGTGTGTCACTTTCCGGGCAAATGTTGGCGATGGTTTCACCACGTAAGGTGCAACATACATGAGTATACAGTAGGGTTTAGTAAGCTGTCACAGTTGTCACTGTGACTGCACTGTGGATTCACGCAGGACTGCTCATTTTTTTTCAATTTGCAGTTGAAGAATGAAATTGACCATAGCACAGTAATACTGTTTAAATGGTTTCAAATTACTCATTTCTTAATATTTGATAAAGGAACGTGATTAATGCTTTCATTCCTATTTTATGAACTGCCTTTTCTTAATAGTCGAGTCTAATGGTTTTATATTTGTGCACAAACGTGCATTTCTGTGTACACAGGTAGAATGTATTTTCTTTTCCTTCATCATCATCATCATCATCATCATCATCATCATCATCATCATCATCATCATCATCATCATCATCATCATCATCATCATCATCATCATCATCATCATCATCATCCTCCTCGTCGTCGTCGTCGACGTTGACGAGCATGCATTGGGCATGAATGAATAAATAAAGCCATTCAGTTATTTCCAAAGGCCCACGAGTAGCTTGAAGCCTCTTTAATGGTGTGAAAAACAAAGAACCACCACAACACACGAGGCCTCCGAGAATTCATACTTGCCACCACTACTATTTCTTACCTGAAGACAGATAGATTAAACTAGCGGAAAGACAAAAACAGAGCTCCAGGATGTCTACCATAGAAATTATGCTTCTAAATTCCGTGACAATTTTACAATCTCCCTAACCTATTTGAAAAAAAATCATGACTCGAAAGCCAAAGACATCCAATGCACAGGAACAAAACATTCGGACATCCTGAGGCAGTCCGCGGAAGTATGAGTGCTGCCAAGGATCCCTAGTACAGAGCAAACAATTTTATTATAGACGAAATGAACTAAAACACACATAAAAAATCATCTGAGAGACTGTCTTACATGTTTCAAGCAAGGTCTCTCAATTGTAAAAAGCTCGCCCCCCCAAAAAATTTTTTTTTTCACCGCGAAGATAAACTAAGCATCACCAAATACTCGGTTATCTGGACCAGATGCCAAAGTTTCAGAATTTTAGCACTTATCACAAACTTATTCATAATTACGAGTGATTTTCTGAAACTTTCCATCAGAAAATGAAGCCCACTCCCGAAAGTTGACGTCATTCATCCCCACATATTCGTGGGCCTTGTCAGCCACGGTTTTGCCATCTAAAATTTCCGAAAATCGCTTTTAAATTTTTTCAATAAGACAACGGTTCATCTGGAAACCTTGGCACCTGGTTTTGACCGTTAGCGCTACAACTGGGTGGAAACCGAGTGCTCGACGACACATATTTTATTCTTGCGGTGAAAAAATATAATGTATGTTTTTGTTACGGGGACATCCTGTGTGTCGGTTTAACAAGAAGGGAGCCCCACCTCGTTTTTCGTCTGGAAGGACGAGTTCCTCTGGCACGTTGACCGTGTTGTTGCTGCTGTTCTCCGACTCTCCTTCGGCGTCTGCTTCGTGCAGCACAAAGCTGATCCTTCTCTCTCCTACCACAACTGCAACGAGACAGAAGACACACCCCAATGTCAGGAGGGGTCTACCAACACTGGCAGCCATGCTGGAAAAATGACATACCCCAAACATTAGGCTACGCTTTAGAGCAATGACCCTTTGGCCATTTTGGTGCATGGAATGACCAAAATGGTCACTTTATGCACCAAAACATACACGACGCATGCGACAGTTTTGGTGTAAGAGAGTAGAAAAGAAAACTGGAAAAGACGGGGTTTCGGATTCTGCAAATTGCAAGAAGAAGAAGAGAAATGAGAGCGTCAAAGTTTGGCAAGTGGTCATCCGCCTCGCTCCAGCACTGCTGGGACACTCCATCCTACCACCCAGACTGCCGCCAGTGCTGACGTCACGTGGACTGCCAGCCAGACGATTGGGGGGACGACGTGGGTTTAGGACTTGACACCGGGACAATGTTTAGTTTGGATGTCTGACCTTTCACTTAATTTCATTCTTCTTGCAATCATAGTCGTTTTCTTGATGCGTGTGTTGTAAATATCAGTGTTCCATTACCATCTATGTTTGTCTCGCCTCCACTGATTTCGTGTGTCGTTTTGGGCGAACGTGACAATTGGCGAGTTTGCCAGGATCCCTTCTTCATTCATAATGTGCCACTCTTGCCAGCACGTTTTCGTTTGAATACAATTATTTACTCTTCTAGAGCAGCTGCGGTATGCAACGTGACATTGTAGTTCCCGTAACCGCCACACACGGCTGCAGCTGAGCAAATAATTTGTTTTTTCTTTTGCAATTACGCAAAAACAGTCTCTCCGGGCAAGATGAAGCGTTTTTTTGCACAAATTTATTATAATGTAAGCTCGAGGTTCAACTGGCACTAGTGTGTTGTCGCAAATTGAAGCAGAGAGCAACAAGCCGGAAATTAACTTCCAGTAATGCACTTCCATGGAAAAAAGCGAGTGCATTTTCTCCCTGTAATTGATCATAAGAGCAAATATCACGAATAATTCATTTGTACTAGGTAACTTGAAACATTCCTCAGTCAAGCAAATGAAAGAATTGGCCAGTTGCAGTGTTTTTTTATTTCAAATTCATGGCATTAAAACGGTGCGAAAATGGCCTCAGACGTATTTATGTGCACTGTCGCACACTGTTAGCACGAACACGGCATCGGCGCTTTCTAGCATGGCGGATATACGAGCCAAATGAATGGAGGACATCTGGAAAACCAGGAGAGACGGCAAGCACTACGCAGTAACACTGGATCAGTAACTCCTTGTGCAGATGATCAAAATAAATTGAAGGCTACGTAATACAGTCCGATTTGCCATAAATAAGAGCTGCTTTATTCTTTCTGCTCATGAATATGTGCGAAGATCCTTGTTCTGCGTTTAAATTACGTCACCCGCACGCTCAAAATTTTCGAAAATATTGAGAAGCCAGAGGACAGGTTCCCAATAAAAGTCACCTGGCATAGGAAATAATAAAAAGACACACCTTTCATAGCCCACATACTTTATTTTTTTGCATTTACTTTACGTTAGTGACAGGACGTGCATACAAGAAATATATAAGCGTCACCGGAATGCTGGCAAATTTTGAACACACTCTACATTCCTTTCGGTTGTTATTAATGCGAAAGCAGTAACTGTCCCATGGAGCGAACCGACGTAATCAGCTTTGAAACCACGCCAAATGTTGGCCAAACGGTACCTAAAATCCCCTTTCTCAAGTGAAGCAGAATTCTGATGGATTATGCTCCCATTGGCTGGCGTGCGTCATTAAGGAACGAGGCTCCCTTTGGCTCTCGTGCGGCACAGTTCCATAAAAAGCCAGCAGAGAAGCCCTCTCCATGGCGGTGCAGCACACGCAGCGGCCCCGCCGCCGGTAAGAGCGGTGCGGCAGTGCGGGCCTGGTGGCAGAGCCCATTCGGGCGAACTCCAAGGAGGGTGCACGGCCAAGCTCAGCGCGGCGCAACCACTTCCAAGAACGCGCGCTCGGCCATTAGCCGGGCAAACGTGGCCGTCCCGTGCACTATGCCGCAGACAGACTAAGGGAGCGGAAGAACGACCTTCATGCTTTCGCATGCACAATTCATAAGAAGTGCTTAGGTGTCCTCGGATTTGTTTTTGCTTAAAATCGTCGCTCGTTTTTACATACCTGCTATGGAACCGAGGTTTGGGCCAGAAATATAACAAAGTTTAAACTCGTTCACATTTACAATGCTAATAAAAGTACATGCTATTCGGTACGACCAACATACCAAAGATGATCCTTGTTATTTTTCGGGTAAGAGACAAAATGCACGCTCATTTTTCCATAGAAATGCACAGAAACACTGCAAAAGTAGACTGGTTGCTGTCCGCTTCAATTTGCGTCCCGATAACAGCATAGACACTAGCGCCAGTTAAACCTCTAGTGTACATTGTAATAACTTTATGGATTATTGTCACTTGTGCCTAGATAAACAATATAAGAAATAGAAACTGCAAATTCTTTTGACATTAAAACGTTGCACTACACTTTTAAGGAAGGTATGATTTTATTCTTAAAAAAAGTAAAATGCCTGTCAAGTAGTTTTCGAACCAAGATAATCCATAACCCTTAACTGTCGCTCCCGGCGACCAGTGCGGCAGTGGTGTATGCCAGAGCCATATATTGGGAGAGTTTGGCCAGTGGGTGTGGCGATGAAGGCGCCGGAGAGGAGAAAGTAAATGAAAGGGAGGACAGCGCCGAAGGAGCGAGAGAGAAAGAAGGGAGCAGAGAGGAGACGACCGCCATTTTTTAGCAACGCTGTTGGAGACTGGTCGGAGAAGAGCACTGCTGAGGCTACGCGTCGTCTGCTACGGGCCGACTTCTTTTTCGCCAGAATAAAAGTTTGTGGCCATACGCCGAAAAATCTTCATTTATTAGCTTTTTGACCCAGCGAGGAATAACAGAATGTCCTTTTCTTGCCAGAGCCAGCGATATAAAAGGCAATAATCGAGATTTAGATGCCGATCCCACGCATTCCGCCGGGAGAATGATCGAACATGGCGGCCCTCCTAACTCAGGTAAGAGCAGCTGGGAGTTCACGCGCACGCGCTCATGCCTCTCGCTCTGCGCCGCGAGCTGATTGGCTCACTCGGGAGGAGAGCGTTACGGCGGCGAGATCTTAGACTGACAGAACTCTCCCCATATACTGCTCTGGTGCATGCATCATCAGTTTCACACGATATGACTGAAAGATGTGGTAACTTTGGATTTGAACGCTCTCTATTGCACAGTGTCTATGGAAAGTTCTGCAACTAAAGATTTGTAGTACTGTCGAGTTTTTAACGCCCTCCATCGTACAGCATCCATGAGAAGTTCCACAACTGAAGTCTTCTAGTAACGTTAAATGTCAAATTCTCTCTGTTAAACAGCATCTACAAAAAACTCCACAACTGAAGTCATTGAGTTTCGAACGCTATCCATTGTACAGCGTCCACAGGAAGTTTCGCAACTGAAGTTATCTGGTAATGATGTATTTGGTACCCTCCTCATGTAAGAGTCTAGGGGAAGCTTTGAAACTAAAGCGATCTATAGCAACGTTGGCAAGAGAGAGGGTGCAACCCAACAGACCTGGGTGGGTCTGCTCGGCGAGCGAGACCAGGCTGTGGGCCGAGGTCTGGCTCACGCCCAGAGTGCTGAGGGCCATGCTCCAGCGACGGTTGGCGTTCACACTACGAGGCTCCATCGGCGGGCGCTCCCGCGTGGACGTGCGCAGGCCGGCCTTGTGGGGCAGCAGCTGGTATGTCTCTCGCAGGAACGCCGTCACCTCCAGCAGCAGCTGGCACGCCGCCATCTTCAGGGCAAATGGGCACCCGCTGCCCGCCGGGTCGATGCTCGCTGCAAGCAGGTCATGTTTAAGACACCTCATTTTTTGTACGTACCAAGTTACCCCCAAAAGTAGCCTTTGAGTTGGTCAAACCGTAATCGAAAGACACAACAAAAACTCCCCAAACAGGTGTTATCAAAAATGGGGGGAAACCGACTAAACCACGAAAAATATAGGCCGGTTTAACCAATATCGGAGGAAACGGAAAACCCTTCCCAAAGTAACCTCCGAGCCGGTTTTGTCAGAATCTGATAAAACTGACAAACCCCAAAAGTAAACCCCTATTCGGTCTTGTCAAAATTATGAAAAGATGAAAAACCATGAAATTTTGTCAAAATGAGAAAAAAACGGAAAACTCTGATTAGAAGCTGTCCGTGCACAATAAAAGCACGAGCTTCATGGGAAGAAATTTTTACCTACGGTTTTATCTGTTGTTGACAAGAAACATCATCCCCCAACCACCCCATGAAATATCCACGAAGTATTCGAATCACCTATGTTCATTTGAAGGTTGGGGAACCTCAAGCCCCATCTTCTTATACGTAAGCACGATAAATGCCGATTTTTTTGTCCGACACCAAAGTCTGCTGCTGAAAAGCACCATATCTAGCTGTAGGAGGAAATAAACTCTACACCCCCCCCCCCCCCCCCCCCCCCCATTTAAAGAAAGCCAAACTCCAAAAACAGAAAACCCTTGAGAGCCATGTTTATCTTGGATCAGGAGAACCGCGGCACTGCATCCAACGATGTTGAGATGACACAAGATGAGCACAGAACGGGCTTCTCGAAAAATCACCCCAGTAGCCTTAACTCTCAACGGAAGATTCACCCCATACTTTAAAGAGTGCGCAAAACCCTGGCACTCTAAAAGAAGCCGAAAAAATAGGTGTCTGCACATAGAAAGGAAAGGTGGATATTACCTGGTCAAATATTAGTTAAATATTCGACTTACTGAGACAATGAGCCCCTTATATTATGTTCTCCGCCCATACACCTCACCTGTACAAACCGCATTATAATGTAGCTTTCACGGCTTTTTTTTTTAAACAAATCTGTAAAGCCTAAAAAAGAAATGAAAGCTGTTTACAACTAACTGAAACGCCAAATTAGAGTGCAGCTCTTGAGGAGGAGGAGGAGGGAAGGGTACTGAAGGGAGGGTATACCCCTTCTCCTCACCTCCTCATCCTACCTGCTACTCCCCGCCGAGCGGCGTCGCTGTCGCCGCCGGCATAACCGTGAGGTCACATGACCTTCGGGACGTCGCGTGACCCTCATGACCCCCTGAGGGGTCACGTGACCCCCCAAAGGGGTCCTGACGAACCCCTGAGGGGTCACGTGACTCCCCTCCAGGGAGTCACGCGACCCCCTTGAGGTCATGTGACCCCCTCAGGACCCCCTTCAGGGGGGTCACGTGACCCCTCGAGGGCGGTCATGAGGATGTTTCGGCACGGTGCCGAAACGTCATCACGCCGAAATGTCACCGCGATTACGCCGCGACGGTGCCGCCATTTACGGCGCAAACGGGCACCTAAGAGCTGCGCTCTGAAGTAACTCTTTGTATATGGGGGAGTACAGACTTGCCTGTGTATATGGAGGTATTCTAAAAGAAATATATTAATCCACGGTGCCGGATCTATTTGTAAGGTGCGGAGTCAATCTTCTCACAAAACTCTGTATTTACTTGAGTACTAGAAACACAACTCATGAACAAAAGCCTGCATGTCTATTTTTTGGTGTGGATTGCCAATCATCACACTGCATTCTTACTTCATGTGGACACACTTCACCGTGGCCAAAAGTAAGCACTTGCTTCTTGGTAGGCCACAATTCCTCCGCAAGTATGGTGGGCTAGTAGGTGAGGTGTGGCGATTGCCTGCTCCCAACGGCCGATGGCGGTCCCACACTTCAAGCTTTACATGTCACTATACCATGTTACCATCTGCAAGCTGGCAGCAACGCCACAATGGCACAAACCAGGTAATTCTTTACAAACTGGGTTATTCTTCAAAAGGAGCTAGACAAGAAATACAAAAGTCCGAGGACACCTAAGCGCTTCTATGAGTCGTGAATGCGAAAGCATGAATGTCATTCTTCCGCTCCCTTAGTTTGTTTGCGGCGTAGTGGCGTGGTCGGCCACATTTCGGCACTGCCGAGGTAGCGGCAGACGGTCGAGCGCACACTCTCGTGCAGTGGCTGCGCCGCGCTGAGCTCGGCCATGCAACCTCTGCAGAGTTTGCCCTAACGGGCTCTGGGGCCAGGCCCGCACCGCCGCACCTCGCCGAGCCGTTGCGTGCGCTGTGCCACCACGGAGGGGGCTTCTCTGGTGGCGGTTTTTGAAACTATACTGCACAAGAGCCAATGGGAGCCTCGTTCTTTGATGACTTGCGCCAGCCAATAGAAGCCTACCCATCAGAAATCGGCTTCCCTTCGCTCCCTTTGGAGAGGTGAATTTAGCTGTCGTTTTGCGTGGCTTTTTGCGCGGCTTCAAAGCTTGGAGGCTTCAGATGGCGGCTTCATTTCGCTTTATTGGAACAGGGAAATTTAGCAACCGTTTGGCGTCCCTTCAAAGCTGATGGCATTGGCTCGCTCTATGGGACAGTTAATGCTTTCGCATTAAAAACATAGAAGGGGTCAGTTCCAATTTTGCAGCTGAACTCTACAGAATGAGATAAAATGCTCGACCAGCCCATTTTTTTAGCACCTTCCTCTCCTCTTCTAGCCCTGGAGTGAAAGGTGGCACAGCTTCCTGCACACAGATGGTGCCACGCCCTCTAGGCTCGAATCGCGCCGCCCCGACTATAGCCGCAGCTCCCCCTTCTAGCCCACAGTACCAGGAGAAAAACCTGGCTAAGGCAAGAGGAGGGGGTAAAAAGAGGCCGGAGACGTAGCGTACCCTCGTCCAGAAAGTCTTCCTCCTCGTCCTCCATCCTGCACTGGCGACGCTTCTGTTCATCTGCAGCCAGGGCCGCCAGCTCCAGAGGGTCCAGCACCTCACTTTGGAGCATCTCCTCGAGCCTGGCCCCAATGGCCTGGACAACCGGAAGACAAGAAATCAACCAACCACCCCGAGTTCTTTTCTTCCGAGATGTGAGGTACCTCAATGCGACTAAAGACAAGTTCAAATTACCTGAATACTTTGCACGAAGCCAAATGATGCAGAATGTGCCATGTGTTTGTGTCGACCTGTTTGAATTTGTTTCACCTGCTTAGCCTGTTTTGCTTTTAAGGTTTGTGCCCCTATCGATCACATAGTCACATGACCACACAACGGGACTTCAGGCCAAGTCCCGTGATGGCAGTGTCACATGACACCTTGACATCACTGTGTCATGTGACATCAGCGTCGCATGACAGCTTGACATCACTGAGTCACACAACATCCCACGGCCTAATTTTGAAGAGAAAACCCAGGTTATCATGTTAACACAACAACTTCTCCCAATTCTCTTTGGAAAACAGCCTATAAAGGCATCCTGCTTTAACAGCTTTTGCAATTATTCCCCAGCATGAAGGCTACACTTTGCACGAGACAATGCTGTTGAACATGGGTACGACATTTCCATTTCTGCTCACGACTCGAAAACACAAGTACTCTACCGAACGTGTCTTTCTAGAGAGCCCCCCCCGCTCCTCACACGAGCACTAGCTTCGGCTGCTTTCCAAACTTCGTGGCATTGTGAAGATGTGCCTTGGTTCCCCTTTGCTTGCCGTCGGAGCAAGGGATCATTCAAATTGGTGTGCTTGTTAGGGATTACGGCCAGGGTACATGAAAAAAACTGGCAGAGGCAACTATGGAACACGTCATCTATGTCTTCTGTTCGCTCTTGCCATACGTAAGATGAGGATGGTAGTCAGTATGATCTCCATTTGAAAATGGACAAGAAATCGCCTCCTTAGGTCACAGATGGTCAGTGCTGTCTGTGCGACAAGGCCTAAAGCAGGGTGTAAGATAGGCAGGTGGGGAAACAACCACTGAAACCTGCTGCAGCAGTGTGACCAGATTGTGTTCTCCTGGTGGCTTCTGCTCGGCAAGTACCTCCAGTTTACAATAGATGGTGCCGCGGAATACGGAAGGCAATGGACTCGTGTTTGTATGGAACTCCGCAACAAAATGCACCCTGTCAGCGATATTCTTTAATTTAAATTACCATTCACTAAGTCCCGGCGAAATAAAATTACCGCACGTTTATCCATTGCCATTTTTCTGAACCTTAATGCACTTTTCAAGTCTCTTAAGTGTCTGGCAGCGTGAGGTTGTCTGCAAAACGTCTGACATGCTCTTTGCTATTCGTTTTGTTTGTTTTGCTCCCACAAGCACTAGGAGAAGATGAATTTGGTGGTAGCACACTAAATTGGCATTTCTCGTCGTGTTTCGGTGCCTGGATTCTCAAGATATGGGCCGCTACTGTTGTGTTCCAAACCGTCAAACGGGTTAAGGTGTGAAAAACAGAGCGGCGATATTTAACGCAGGCGACGTTGAGTTCGGGTGACTCTGTCGTGCTGGGTATACACTCCGTGCGGGAACTATAGGGGGCGCTTTGAAAAACGCGCGCAGCGCCGCTAGCGGAGGAGCTGGCGTTCGACTGTGAGGCGCGTTCAGCAGCCTGCGGCGCCTTTTCGCATGCCAAGCTGTGGCGGCGGAAGCGCACGGACGAAACATTTGCTTTTTGAGCCGATAAGTTGAGGGTGACGATGCATGAGTGCTGGGGCAGATGGGCATTTAGCTGTTCTCCACCTCTTATATATTGAGTTTAGTAATTAGGGGTAATTTCTCTAGTTGCGGCCGAAAAAGGAGTTGGAGTAATTTTCCGAAAAAGAAGACGGCCGCCACCTTAATTGCTCTGAGTGGGAAATTTATTTCGCTCGTCGCTGTAAACCTAGGACTGCTGGAACGATGATATTTGGAGGCGAGTGTTCACTAAGTTTGTGCACGAAGACTGCCAAGATTCTTTAAGACAGCAGGTGTGAAAGTTATGTTTCTATCGAATAAAGAAATAAACCTGTGCGGGATATCCAATATTGGACCCAAAATGTTGTGTTATAGCGGGCTGTGCAAAGTGCATATTTGGGCACACAGGTGCTTGGACTAGACAGTAACATGACACAGCACTTATTATACAAAAAAAGGTGGCATAGGGAAACCAGGAGAAAATTTGGTTTGGGCGGCGTAACTCAATGGGAACTGGTTTGGATCATGAAAAGGCTGCCAAGAGAATACCACTGGTCGGGGGAGGTGGAGACTTTAAAAGTAGGAAGGGACTAGTGGACTGTACTTCCAATTGAAACAACTTTAAGAAAGGTGGTTCCGAAGCCGAGAAAACAAAGTTGTCGGCCAACACACGGTTTGGCCGCCAAGGGCTTTTTGCGGTCAACTGTTGTGTAATAACCTGTTGTGCGAGGTGCTGATTTTCGGCGCACAGGTACTTTAACATGAGCGTCACTTGGCACAACACTTATTATAACAAAAAGAGTTGGCACAGCGAAACCAGGTGGAAATTTAGTTTGGGCGGCGTAACTAAACGGGAACTGGCTTTGACCGTCAAAGGCTGTCAGATAATACCACTCATCGTGGGAGGTGCATACCTTACAGGTAGGAAGGGACCAGTGGACGGTACTTCCAGTTCGAACCACTTTGCGATAGGTGGCTCTAAAGCCGAGAAAAAAAAAATGTTGTCTACAGAACTCGGGGTATCAACGTTTCCACAAGAAAGAAAGTACACCACATAAACTTCCATACTCAAACGTCGATTCTCCAGTGATTCCGAGTTTCATTGTTGTTTTCTTTAGATTTATATTCGTCACTTTTTTTACCTTTCGAATCTTTCTTCATGATGTACAGATTGCGTGCCATACTTCTCCGGAAATATCATCGACACGTACGATGGCGACGAAACTTCTTTGGAGGGCATTCCTCCAACGAAATTGGCACTGCATACCTGCGAGTGTGGGTTTGTCCCATCGGCGCTGACTCATGTAGGCGTTACTGGCACGAAAACAAACGCAGAGCGCAAAGCGGCAGTGTAGAATAAATCAGCCGTGCCGACACAGTGGCAGACATGATCGGGAGACCAAATTTCTCACGTCGTACGGCACGGCTCCATCGTTGTCGCTGTCCCACAAAACATCGGCGAGGTGAAAAACTGTGAAACTTTGTCTCCACGAGATACGACGCATAACTATTGAAGCACTTAATGACGCAGCACATACAGCACTTCATACTGTGAACCCAGCGCTACCGCACCACTCCGACTTCAATGCGTACCAACGTACGCCGGAGTGGTTTCGGTTTCGTTTTCTCTGTGGTTCTCGCTGCCTACCTTCGGTACCGGCCGCGCGGCGGCGCGCCAGTCGCGTCGCACGGAGTGTATAGTGTGACTGGAGTGTGGTGCAACGGTATACCGCTGGCTTCAAATCACGTCGAACTAGAACTGACCTCGCTTGCACGTAAACAGCGGAAACTTATACGCTAGACCACTCAACACATCTGCTGTCGGAGTGGAATCGACGCCGGCTGAGGCCATTCACAACACGCCTCGGCCGACTTCTCGGCTCGCCTTCATTTTGTTGCGCTGCGCTCCCCCTCGATTATTTTACCTGGTAAGCTAAAACTACGGGCAAAACGGAGCCTATATATTAAACACATTATTAGTTTACTCAATTAAACTTGCGTGGTTCACGCGCAGTTTACAAAATAAATTACCAGTGGGTCGCGTTGCCTGTAAACTTAAGGGGGATATTTTGTCGTTTCTTCTTTGCATGGCACCATCTATGCAGAGTGCTACGACGAACCTTCCCGAAGCAGGGCACATCGTCGGGTGGCCTAATCGGCCCTCGTTAACCTGCCTGCCCGTCTTACACCCTGGCCCAAAGCAACACGCAGTACGTTCAGGGTACGGTGCCTGCAGCGCGTCTTCGACTGGCGTGTTCGGTGTCCCATCCAGCCCGTAAATCAAGAGGGGTCCCGAAGAGGCAACAAATGACGTCACAAAAGCCGGCCTGTCGTGTTGCCAGATGTCACGATCCTGGTGGTTAGTACGATCAAAAAAAAAGCGTGAGGGAACAGGACTGCCTTGGCATCCCAACTCCAGGCTGCCGAAGCTTGCATCAACTGCCAAGCTGGAGAGCGATTCGAGGGACCACTTTCTAGGATGCGGTATGCAGCCAGCCGAAGAGGCACTCCGGGCACCGCCGGGGCGCTTTGAGGAGGGGCTCACCTCCGCCCACTGGAAGAAGAGCTTTCCCGCGGCCCTCTGCAGGATGTGGGTGCGATGCATGCCCGACGGGGTGCCCCGGTTGGCCAGGGGCCCCGAGGGGCGGAACACCGGCAGGTTCAGCTTCATCCAGGTGGGCCACTGGCCGCGGTTGCACCGGTGCACGAAGTGGGCGCACTCCAGGTACAGCGCTGCCCGGGACACCACGGGAGCCTTCTGCAAGACGACGGAGGGAGGCCAGATGGTGCGCACGCCGTCAGAGGGCACTTCGGTTTCTTCGAACTTGCACGTTTTTAGTCGCATTATTAGTGCATAATTTTTTAATTTTTTATGTGGCCTCGATGACGTCACAGTGTCACGTGCCACGTCACAGTGTCTTGTGACACTGGGATGTGATCGGAAAGACACCATAAATCAGCAGCATTGCGGAGCTATCACCTAACTGTCGAAGCAACCTTTTGTGTGTGTGCATTGTATGTGCCTTGTGTATATGTGCACGCCTGCCCTGTATAAATCTGTGTGTGTGTTGTGTATAAATGTGTGTGCACGAGCTTGAGTGTGTGTGTATGTGTGCCTGTCCATTTTCCCCATGTCCAACTTACAGCACCGCCTGGTCGATGTCAGGGGCGGTGCAACAAGTACGTGGGCGCAACGCCTTTCCCTGCTCACCCAGATACCGAGCAGCGCTATGCAATACGAAGTGCAATAAATTACAATTACAGTAAAACCTCGTTATAACAAAGTTGAAGGAGCGGTCGTAATTATTTCGTTATAACCATTAGTTCGTTATAGCCAGTGTCCATTTCTTCCCACTATTAGCAAGCAAGGGGAATTATGATTGCTTTGTTATATCCCATTTTGTTATAACGAGGTTTTACTGTACAATTGCATTTACCGTATTTACTCAAATATAAGTCAACCGCAAGTATAGGTTGATGCCTTTATATTAAACTCGTAGAATATAAAAAAAAAGAAAATTTGAATATAGGTGGCTCTGGCCCACGATAGGTGGCTCTGGCCCACGATTGTAGGTCGACCGTTAGTTTTTTACATTTCCGAAAAAAAAAGGTTGACTTATATTCAAATAAATACGGTAGACCTTTCCAAAAATAGCTTTCCGGCCGACGCCATTTTGCTAAAATCATGCTAAAATGAAGCGATTCTCGCGACCCCTATCAGCCACAAGTTTCTGCCACCCTCCTCTCCTGGGCCGTGCAAACCTGCTCATCACGGCTCACCACCTGCATTTTGCATCTTGATCTTGCTGGCTTCGGAAGTTTTTACTATATCTGCCATTTTCAGACTGTTTCCTCTTCGCGCTATCTTCCAAAGTGACAACCAGGGCTTGTATCCTGAATGCCTTCCGTTCAAAGATTTCTGCTCGGCCTTCGCGGGAGACAAACGCGGAGAAGAAAGTCAAACGACCCAGGACACGGGCCTTTCAACATTCTTCGAGGATTACCTTGTCTAAAATAATCACGGGAGCCTTCTCGGTTTTTGCCAAAAACAGCTAATCGGGTTGTGGAGGGGAACGAAACAGACGTGTTCATTCCTTTGCTTTGGTGCTGTGAAAAAACTAAGCTCTCTCCAAAATGACCCAAAACAAGTCAAAATTCTGTCCCACCATCGTAAAATGACTGTCGTTGACACTGTTGATTGGATGTGTTGTGTTATTTGAAATCTTTCTCAAATCAACCTCGTTGAAATTATGCAGCACCGTGGGGTACGTACAATATGTTGTTTGAAGGCTGAGACTTGTTTATTGAATTTCATGTTGTGAGCGGGGAACACCCAAGTCTTTCAGCTATCCAGTGGGGTCAAATATTTTCAACAGCTAAGAACTTCGTAGACTGACGCGGCCGCCTGTTTGGCGATGTGAAAAATCCGCGTAAATTGAAATAAATATTCCAGTTGTATTTGTTCTGAAGCATACGCACTCACCAAAAAAAAACTTTCAGCCTTTCCATTCTAGTGAAGAAGGAAGACCAGCGAAGCTGTACATGGTGGGAATGATGTAATGGCAGGCCGCAAGTCGGCAAGCAGTGGAAAGGCTCAAAAGGTTGACGCCATCTTTGAGCAACGGCTGCAACCAGACAACTAACAAGCCAGTTGTTTGGTTGCCGCCGTCGCTTATAGATGGCGGTAGCTGTTCAGAGTTCTTTGTCATCATTTGTTTGCTGACGGACATGATCCTGGGAAAACCAGCCCTTCACAGCTCCGATGTAAAAATAGCCTACATTTGTTTGGCTTTGTTCCCCAAGATGGTACAATATTTTTTCAAGGGCCTCAAGAAAGAACATTCGCCATACAACATAAAAGAGCAGCTATTTAACCGCTAGCTAGCAGTGTCCGAGATTGCCTCTATGCCGGCTGCTCACTAACGAGAAAACCTGGCAACGTCGAGCAACAATGACGTGAACTTTTAAAGTCAGGGATGGGCACTCATAGTCACATCACTCAAGACTGCAGCTGTAAAGGTGTATGGGTCCTCTGTGATGCCGTATATCACCAGGTCATGTGACATCACGTGATCTGGTGATGTCACGTGACATTGGCGTGACTCCACAATGTCATGTGACACTGTGACACTACGAAGTGACATTGTGAATTCATTTGACATAGCGACATGCTTGACACCATAATGCCATGTGACACTGTGATGCTACGACGTGACATTGTGAAGTCACTTGACATTGTGACATGCTTGACACTACGATGCCATGGGACAGTGTGACGCTACGACGTGACATTGTGAAGTCACTTGACATTGTGACATGCTTGACACAACAATGCTATGGGACAGTGTGATGCTACGACGTGACATTGTCAAGTCACTTGACATTGTGACATGCTTGACACCACGATGCCATGGGACAGTGACGCTACGACGTGACATTGCGAGGTCACTTGACATTGTGACATGCTTGACACCACGACGCCATGGGACAGTGTGAAGCTACGACGTGACATTGTGAGGTCACTTGACATTGTGACATGCTTGACACCACAATGCCATGTGACACTGTGATGCTACGACATGACATTGTGAAGTCACTTGACATTGTGACATGCTTGACACCACGATGCCATGGGACAGTGACGCTATGACGTGACATTGCGAGGTCACTTGGCATTGTGACATGCTTGACACCACGATGCCATGGGACAGTGTGACGCTACGACATGACATTGTGAAGTCACTTGACATAGTGACATGCTTGACACCACAATGCTATGTGACACGGTGATGCTACGACGTGACATTGTGAAGTCACTTGACATTTTGACATGCTTGACACCACGATGCCATGGGACAGTGTGACGCTACGACGTGACATTGTGACATGCTTGACACCACAATGCCATGTGACACTGTGATGCTACGACATGACATTGTGAAGTCACTTGACATTGTGACATGCTTGACGCCACGATGCCATGGGACAGTATGACGCTATGACGTGACATTGTGAAGTCACTTGACATTGTGACATGCTTGACACCACAATGCCATGTGACACTGTGACGCTACGACGTGACATTGTGAAGTCACTTGACATTGTGACATGCTTGACACCACAATGCTATGGGACAGAGATGCTACGACGTGACATTGTGAAGTGACTTGACATGGTGACATGCTTGTCACCACGATGCAATGGGACAGTGACGCTACGACGTGACATTGCGAGGTCACTTGACATTGTGACATGCTTGACACCACGATGCCATGGGACAGTGTGAAGCTACGACGTGACATTGTGAGGTCACTTGACATTGTGACATGCTTGACACCACAATGCCATGTGACACTGTGACGCTACGACGTGACATTGTGAAGTCACTTGACATTGTGACATGCTTGGCACCACGATGCCATGGGACAGTGTGACGCTACGACGTGACATTGTGAAGTCACTTGACATTGTGACATGCTTGACACCACAATGCCATGGGACAGTGTGACGCTACAACGTGACATTGTGAAGTCACTTGACATTGTGACATGGTTGACAGCACAATGCCATGTGACACTGTGACGCTACGACATGACATTGTGAGGTCACTTGACATTGTGACATGCTTGACACCACGATGCCATGGGACAGTATGATGCTACGACGTGACATTGTGAAGTCACTTGACATTGTGACATGCTTGACGCCACAATGCCATGTGACACTGTGACGCTACGACGTGACATTGTGAAGTCACTTGACATTGTGACATGCTTGACACCACAATGCTATGTGACACGGTGACGCTACGACGTGACATTGTGAAGTCACTTGACATTGTGACATGCTTGACACCACGATGCCATGGGACAGTGACGCTACGACGTGACATTGCGAGGTCACTTGACATTGTGACATGCTTGACACCACAATGCCATGGGACAGTGTGACGCTACGACGTGACATTGTGAGGTCACTTGACATTGTGACATGCTTGACACCACGATGTCATGCGACACTGTGACACCGTCAGGGTCGTTTGACGTCACGCGATGTGACGTCAAACGACCCTGACGGCTTAATCGGGACACAAATCTCTTACAATGTGGCCTTCAGTCTCCTGTTTACTCTGCCCACAAGAGGAATATGCCATGCATTTAGAATGCCTTTGAAGAATGCCAAAGAGGCAGCCCTTTTTTTTTATTTTTATTTATCTCAAACATACTGCCAGCTGTGAACGCAAAACAGGTGGATAGGCATGCCAAAAGCAAAAGCACCCTTAAGTATTAATAGGGCACCAAAGTGGATTTTGAGATGGTCTATTGGTGATGATAACTCAATCTACGAGCTTAAGCATCCTAAAAAATTTGTAATTACACTCATGGGCGACCAATTTCACTATTAAAAATCCAATGCAACATTGCGACAAGCCCCTCTTCCTACACTTGGAGCAGACACCACAGGGTGCCGTCAGACGGCATTTTCAAACAATAATTACTGCATTATGTCTCCTAAAGAGTTGATGCTTTTGTCAAGATATAAAGCACTTTACACCTAAAAAAGCAATAATAGTAAGGTTCGGAATCTCCGTGCAATTAACTTTTTTCATTGGTCAAATTTTATGGAGGTGGTGGGGACCCGGAGATGGTTCCCCCAAGACGAAATAGGGCCTGTGTATTTCTATTGCTGTGCGTTTCCTAGGACATCTTGCCATCTAAAACTACTTGTCATTTTTATTGACTAAAACCCAACAAACAATATGCCATCAAAAACAAGCTTCTACATTTGCTTGAGTGCCCTTTTAGAAGTAGTATCAAGAAAAGCAGACACAGTTGCACTATATACAGCGGTCGCCACCAGACAGTTCTATTTGTCAATATGTTTCGCAAAGAAAGAATTCCTAAACGAGTTTGTGTTAAAGTAGTAGGGCGTGAGAGATTTGTTATGTTCTGTTCTAGTTACATTATCACAGTTTGCCTATGTAACATGGTTCTGAATATCAATAAAAGTACTGCTTTAATGGTCCTTTTGTTCTACTTTGAAAACCAGTCAAGTAAAAATATTTTGAGTGTGTGTCTTTTAATTGTTTGTGTTGTTACCTGCTGTCTCGTTTTTTTTTAATCATGTTTAATGTACATCAGCTTGTTTGCACCCTTACATTTATTTCATATTTTACTGCTTGGTTTATTATGCTACAAAGCAAGAGTTCTCAAACCTTCCCCTCTCGGAAAACCTCTATTCATCTTGATTGAAAGCCAAGGAACCCCTCTCAGTCTCAGCACTGACACAATACTGCAGTGCAGAAGCCTACAGACCATGTAAGCGCAGGGAGTGTTTCGAACACAGTTAACCATTAATACTGTAAAATAGTGCTTAAACAGGAAACCCACTTCATTGAGGGGCAAGCAATGTTGAGAAGATTTGGGAGTTTGGGGAAACCTGAGGGTACTACCCATGCTATAAACTTAAAGGATTACAACAAAAAATTAGGTTTGCTAACTTAAAATGTTTTTGGCTGCTTCGAAGTTTAAAACCCACGTCCCCCTTGAGCCTCATCTCGCTTGCATTCTGAACTGCAAATAAAAAAGAATTTGTTGCATCACCCGGAGCATGTTGACATGCACCCAAACAATATTAAAAGTTTGTCTATGCTTAGCAGTGCCACCGGAAATGACAGAGAGTGGTGCCACTGGGTGGGGGGTCGCGAAGGGAAGGCGCACTTACCAGGTCGAGGGCTGCGGCCAGCAGCGGGGCATCTGGCACGGTGCCCGGCTGGCAGACCTCCTGGAGGAAGGCGAAGCGCAGCATGCCGTCCTGCACCAGCTGCATGTTCACCAGCTTGCTCTCCTTCAGCATCAGCATCTCCCCCTCCCGCTGGGCCGGGTCCAGGTCGAACGAGTTGCGGCGGCTCAGGTCTGCAAGAAAGGTCCAAACCATCTGCAAGGGGTGTCTCAACTGTCTAGAAGAAGGTTCAAGGCATAATGCTTCATGCCTTGAGGGTATTTATAAATAAATAAATAAAAACTGTCTGCAAGGTCGGTCCAAACTGTCTGCAAGGGTAGTTCAAACTGTCTGCAAGGTGGAACAAAACTGTCTACAAGTAAGGCAACTTCACCTGCCAGGGAGATTCAAACAGTCTTCAAAGAGTGCCCAAACTGTCTCTAAGGGGGATCTAAACTGCCTTCAAGAGGGTCCAAACCACTTGCTAGAAAAGTTCAAACTGTCTGCAAGAGTGCCCAAACTGTTTGCAAGGGTGATCAAACTGTCTACAAGTGGGCCCAAACAGTCTCCAAGATGATCAAACTGTCTACAAGTGGGCCCAAACAGTCTGCAAAGGTCTAACTGTCTACAACAGATGTCCAAACTGCCCGCCAGGAGGACCAAATTGTCTGCAAGAGTGCCCAAACTGTATGCAATAGTGCCCAAACTGTCTGTTTGGACAGATACCTTTAAACCGTCTGTTTAGAGGTATGTGTCTCTGGCACATACCTCCAAGTCAACACTTGGCAGCTTTCTGCCTGGACACACTTCTACAGACGTGATGTTTCCTTCAAAAGTATACTCGGGAATAGTAATATCGGAATGAAGAGAACTCACTTCATATGATATTAACAAGACAAACAGCTATAAAGACAAGAATTACATATTTGAATCAGGTTTCTGAGTCTAAAGCAATGTATTAGGCTAAAATAGAAGATTGTTCATTCAAAGTGAGAGAATTCATGCTTTTGGCTAATTGAGGAATTCTAAATATTTGGTGGATTGGTTATTAATCGATGGATCTACATGTCCCTTAGTTTGTACGTAAGTCAGTTATCAATCATTTTCCTGCATTAGGGTGGCTCCTCACAGCCACGAGAGCTGACCTTGCCGATGAATGAGTAAAGCCAGATTGTCGGTGCTACAGAGAAGCAGCAACTAACAAGCGTGCTGGGCCGTTCTCGAGGGGTCCAGAGAGCTCGGATGGTTGCTACACAAGGCCAGACAAGACTATGTGTTTGTACAGTTTGGTGTGTGTGTGTGTGTGCACTGAATGCACACACATCAAGAGCACCAGGATTGCGGCGTTCATTTTCGGCGGCCGCGGCACCGCCATCGGACAGTGGCATCTTCCCATCAACATGCACACATGCGGCCATACAATGTACACCCTTGCAGGTGTACACCATGTGTACATACGAGTGTGTGCATTCACAATATGGGTGAAACGGTTCCCCTCAAGGGTGCTTTTCCTAAACAACTTCTCACAGACCACCGCAGAAACGGCAGCCAAATTTTTAAATCTTTTTTTTTTTTTTTTTTAGTTGTACACAGCGGGATTTGGCAACTTAAAACTTTGCCCGTCAATTGTCCGAACCCGTTGCTACGTTGCCCTTCCTTTGCAACTTTGGCATATAGTTTTGTTTAGTGTTGCTTGCCATTTTTATTTTTCTGTATTTTTCTATACACGTGTTTGGTCGTGAAAAAGGCAATAGTGGTGATTTATTTTTCTTAGCGAGCTGCCTAGGCCTGCAGATTAATCCAACTAATAATAGCAACAACAAAAAAAAAAAATTATACTTATTCCAGTGACCATAGTCAACATGTATGGCAGTGGTAAGCGAGCTGCCACACATGCTGCCAAGCAATTTGTGAGCTATTCATATGGGCGAAAATTGAGCAGGCCTCAGCGGGCCCGTGAATATTAGTGTTGGGCCGGGCCGGGCAGGCTGTCAGAAATAATAGATAGCAGGCTGCGGGCAAGCCCAGGCCCAAGAGACAGCGGGCAGGGCTGGGCCGGGCTCCTAAATATCAGCCCATGCACACCTCTAGCTTGGTTAGCCACTAAAGGTTTGTCTCAATTTAAGGGGAAGCACTACTCCGGAAGGCTAACTTTTGAACCGTTTGTCTTATTTGCATGAAATTTGCAGGGTGTACTCATAGCACTGGACAAGGATGCTGTGGAAATTTGCAACCCTATAAATTTATCCCACGATGAGTTACATAAAAGTTCATAGTAAAAAAGTGTATCTGCTGGGGAAAGCTATCGTTGGGAAAGGGTAATCAAAATGGCCAGTTTTTTTGCTGGAACATACAGCAGAATACTTGCTTCAGACTATGAAAAGAAATTTCAAAAATTATAAAATTTATTCACAAAAAAATATAGAAAAGTTTTTTTGTGTGTACATTTGATTTAAAAGAAATATAAACTTTTTATAACAAAAGAGCATAAAAATGCAGAAAGTAAGTTCACAGTCATGTTCTCTAGAAAATTTCAATATAGAAAAACCAGAATATATCTGTACAAATAATTCGATTATGAAATGATAGCTTCCATGAACTGATATTTGACACTAAAAGTGAAGCTGAGATAAATGCACTTGAAGTTTCATGACGACGTTTTAAAAATTAATTTTTGCGTCTTAAATGTCAGAAATTCTTTCCAGCAGTGTAGGTGATGTCTTCTTCGAACTTCTTCTGATATACTGACATTGCTTTCAGCTATTTTCACTAGTAAATGACAAGTGCTACGCAGTGCAGCACGCCTCACCAACATATAAAGAATAATTATTTTTGACATGGTTTGTCAGTGCACACTGACAAGACTTTGTGAGAGTGTTCCTTGTTATCCATACATGCCAAAAACTTTGCAGTTCTGAATATGCATTTTTTTTAAAAAAGGTGCAATTCAAGGTAGTGTACCCCCTTAATAAGTGGCATCAACCTTTAATAAAAAAGAAGTATTGGTATATTGCCTTTCCATGTAGTCTGCAGTAAAGCATTGTGGAAACAGAACCCTATTTTTACCGAGACTATCTCCAAATTTTGAATAAGCGCTTGCTGGGTATTTTGCGTATTTACATACTTGCGTCAGTGTTTCCTCTGTACAACTCACTCTTCCGACGTGCTGGTGCCAATTCTTTTACAGCGGTAGCTCTCCAGCAGCTGATTGCGAAATACCCACGTGGTTGCGCTGTGCAGACACGCTCCCTCGCCTCCCCACTGCCAACACCCGGGTTCCGTTCTCGCGTGCTCTCCGCGCCTCTACAAAACAACTCGCGTACATACTTCCACTTCTTCCACTGCAGGTGCAGTCAAGGGCACCCTAGTTTTGAAAGAGTTTTTCAGCCAAAAACAAAAAGCATGTCTCTATGGCCCTCTCCAACACACACAACATCTCACACAATCGTTCCACCAAAGCACACATCTCCTACATCAATTCCACTGAAAGCAAAAGAACTCATTGCAAACATTGTACAGGACACTGAATGAAGACGAATCTTCTTCAAGGTGCCCTTCCACGACGTAGCAGCTACCGCCGTCAATCACAGCACACTTTTGTGCAGTGTTTTCAATTTTCATAGTTCAAACAGAACCAACGTGTCCTTCTGAGTGCGAAAGAACGAGGTCCGCCATAATCGCTACGACGAACGGGTTCCAAAGGCCCAGAAAGAGAGTGTCGCATACTCTCGCGACCCAAAAAGGGGCGACCCTGACCTGGGGGCTCCTCGAAGCTGCCGTGCTTGCTCTTGCTGCGCCCGAAGCCGAGCTTGCAGAGCTGGTCCTCCATGCGCCTGCGTGCCCGCAGCAGGGTCAGGCTCATGTGACTGGCCGACTTGGGCGGAGGCTTGGCCGGCATGCCCCGGTTCAGGGCGCTCGAGCGCCGGGGCACCCGGTCCACGGCGCCGGGTGAACTGTCGGCCGGAAGGCCTCCAGGGGAGGACGCCTCCTCCTCCCCCGTGTCCGTCCTGCGGTCCCCCCGCAGCCACCCCACTGCAGGAGAGACGGGTGCCCAAAGCAGTGATGTGATTAGTCCCGAGTCTTTTTGGAGCAGCTCTTGAAGCAGTCAAAAGTCAATTTGGGAGCAGCACGAATAACTTTTGTAGCATCACTGTTATTAGTACCAATGCAGACATTATGTTAAGATTAATGTCCAACTAAAAGGCAATGTCTACATCCACTTCTCACTTACGTGCAACTCTTTGTTAGAATCAATTGCACAACAGGAGTGAGTCCCTCAAACACAGAACTAGCGTTTAGTTGTGTGGAGAAGCACCAGAGAGGGCGATGAAGGACAGCACGAACTGCCGCGAGTGGTTTTTTTTTTAGGTACTGAATCCCACTGAAATAATACAATAATATTAGGCCCATAAATTAATGGTTTCTTCAAGTTCTAAAGGTTGTAATAAAACAGCAATTTGTATTTCAGATAAAAACAAAGCACTTGTCATTTGATTATGAATGTCAATTACATTTTATGTGCAGAACTTCATAACAAAGACGGCATGCAAACGAAACTTAAAAAGAATCCCGCCGAACTCTTTGAGGTTGTTCCCGAGCTCCCATCCACTGCTCCTGCCAACTTACCGTAAAATCCTAAAATAGCACCCACACTCGATAAATCGCCCACTCCGCTTTTATGTTCGAACACATGTTTCCCTCGAATACTGATAGGTCGCCCACCTTCCAAAAATAGCGATGCCCGAAGGTTGAGAAAGGTGCCGGAGGGTAGGGGAGAAGGTTTGGAAAGCCTAGGATTCCCTTCGCAAAAAGAAGAGGCCACACACAATAAGGGAGATAAGATAACGGAAGGAACCCGGAAAGCGGTCAAGGTCACTTATTGAATGCCATCAGGAAAGCGTTGAAGGTCACTTAGTGGTTGTCGTCAGATCGCCCGAGAACCCCAGAAAATCTTTCGACCAGCAAACTGTGAAGACGTTCCTTGTGTATACTCGGGATGAGGTCCAGCTATACCATCCAGAAGAAAGTGGAAGTCGTGGAATGGCACCGCAAGAATGGAGCTAACGTGAGCAAGACTGCGCGCCATTTCGAAGTTGACCGGAAGCGTGTACGGGAATGGAATACGAGCTACCAAGTACTTCTACAACAATGCCATGGAACGAACAAGTTGAAGAGAGCAATAGGTAGGGGACGACCCATTTTTAGTGAAGAAATCGACGACGCACTGATGGACTTCCTGGAGACTGAGAGATCCGCCGGTCGAGCAGTCAGCAATCGCCTGCTTCAAGAGCATGCGCGGAAACTGGCAGAACAGATGGGCCTAGGAAACTTCCAAGCGTCATGCCAGTACATAGCTAACTGGAAGAAGCGATTTAATGTGTCTATGCGGGTGGGGACCAACGAAAGTCAGAAGCTGCCTGCCGACTACTTTGAAGCAATTACGGTGTTCCAAAAGGCTGTGTCAACTCTGCGCCTGGAGCACAACTACTCGGACTACAACATAGCCAACATGGATCAGACTATGGTCCGGATGGATTGCCCTGCTGCGAGAACCAACAATGCTGTCGGCGAGTCGAGTATTCGCATCGCCAACACCGGCTGTGCTCGGCGAGGGATGACGGTGGCCTTGTGCGCGACGGCAGCGGGCATCAAGCTACCTGCTTTGATCGTACTGAAGGAGCAAACCGGCCGGATTCCCCCCCAGAGTACTCTTTTCTCTAAGGATTCCAGGTACGTTGTAATTAATCACCATTCAGTGTATAAATGTCGAAACAAAGCCTTAGAAATACGTAAAAATAAGGCTGACAGCATTTTTTTTTTTTTTTAAATAGAGCGACTGTTGCGTCATCCATTGACAAAACGCCACAGCCCGTTTTGTTTTGTATCGCCCCATTTCCGAAAGATGGCGTAGCCGTTCTGGCCGGCGCCATCATGAGCGCATGAGCAGTTGGCGCGTGACTTGCTGGCTTTCCGAAGCTTACTCACTTGCGCGTGCTTCGGCGCTCGGCCATAAAATCGGGCAGTTCGCATATCTTCACTCATCGGCGTAGCATGTGTAATGTGCGTTTGGGGCCCGAACTGTTATTTCATGTTATACTTGTTGTACTTGCAGCAAATGTGCGAGTTACTTCTTCCAAGAACGGTTGGATGACCTCTCCCGTCCTACTGGAGTGGACTAGGAGAGTTTGGGGCCCGAACGCCGACGACGTGAGGAGACTGCTCATACTGGACCAAGCACCCATACACAAGACAGAGGCAGCCCGAGAAGCGCTCGACGCAAAAGACACCGACGTCGTCTTGATACCGGGCGGTTGCACGTCCATTTTGCAACCCGCGGACGTCTCATGGATGAAGCCCTTCAAGGACACGCTGCGTGGAATTTGGGCATCGTTCTTCCGGAAAGGTTCGGTGACTCCAAAGGGCAACCTTCGCAAGCCGTCGCGTCAAGAGGTTGTGGACTTGGTGGCTCAGGCGTGGGCCTCCGTCTCCGAGGATACCGTGCGGAGTTCGTTCAAACGGAATATCCACAAGGCTCGATGGTTCCGAGGACGGCGAGCTCAACGACCGTTTGGCTTCGGTAACCAATGGACCCGAGGATCCCGAGAGCCTCATTGACGAGGCGTTAGATTTAATCTTGGATAGCAAAAGCAATGTGTCGTTTGACGGTTTCAGCGATGAGAGCTAGGGAAACCCACGCTGCTTTGGCGCACGCGTTACTCGATTTTTGTTTGTGATTTTGGTTATTAAATACTGAAAGATCGCCCACCCCACTTTTTTTGCCAATTATCTACGGCAAAAAGGGGGGCGTTAATTCAGGATTTTACGGTAGTTATAATTTACTCCCATCTATACACGCTTGCAAGTCCGGCTCCAGGGCACTGCCATCTTGCTTGGCTGGGGTGCGCTTGGACGCGTCCTAATCCGATTATGAAGCCCTGCTAAGGCGTCATAATTAGATTATGGCCACGCCCAAGTGCACCCCACTGGGCAAGATGGCGGCACTTTGAGACCGGACTTGCAAACGTGTATATAAAAGTGATAGCTAAACAAATAAGTTGGCATAAATAGATAAACATATGAAAGAATGCATATAATGTTCTTGCAATACCGAAGTATCCTAGCTAAATCTCGATTTGGAAAAAGGTACCGCCAGGATATCGTAGTCTATCATACATACGAGCCGAAGTTGTATCCAGGAATTGTGTCGCGTCTCAATCTGGAGGTGTGATCTCCCCTTAGCACAAGTGTGCACTGTGGCGAAGCAAGACACGCAAAATCGTGATGCTTACTCTGTGGTTTTCGCTTCCCTGCAGTAAAAGGGCAAGCACTTTGGCGCAGCAATCATATCACTGCCAAAGTCAAAACCTCACACCATGGGCACAATGCCAGAAACGCATCTACGACTGGAACGCTCGGTGTCCCGTCCCACCTGCACCTGAAAAGTGGTCCCGAAGCGTCAATAGATGACGTCACAAAAGCCATCGTGTGGCGCTCTGTCTGACATCGCAATTCTGGCAGTCGGTCATAAAAATGCTGGCAAAAATCCCAAACAAACGTGTCACCGTCGTCACTGCTGTACAAGGAAGCGCACATAAAAGATAGAAGATACGAGACCAAGTTCGAAGTATCAGCGCCATAAAAAATGGCACTCCAAGTTCCTCTCGGCTCCAAGTGTTGTTTGCGTGCCTTTCGGTAAGGTAGTTGCGACGTCCCAAATCCTACAGTTAAAGTTTGTGTGGACTGTCAAGATGCAGAGCAACCTGCGGCAGAACGGCCGTCTGCCACATCCACCACCACTGATGTGACACCGCAAGGATCTTGGCTGGTGACAACACGATCCTTGTACGAGGTTATGAGATGGACATCTGAGACACACCAGTCGGAGACGCATTCCAGGCTCCATACCTTCCAGGCTTTGTACCGGGGCCATCTGTGGCTAGACTTTTAGAGCGCAGCTCTTAGGCACCCGTTTTTGGCTTGAGCGACGTCGCCGTCAGCGCTACCGCACATTGCGTTATGGGACTTTTATCATAATGACATTACACGTGACGTCACGAGGGTCACGAGTGACGTCACGGAGGTCACTCGTGAAGGTCATGACCTTCAGTGATCTTCAGAAGGCCATCACGAGTGAGGTCACAAAGGTCACGACCTTCAAGAGGCCATCACGAAGGTCACAAGTGATATTACAAAGGTCACGACGAAGGTCACGCCCTTCACAGTGACCTTCACAAACGTCACAAGTGACATGAGGAGGAAGGGAGGAGGAGGAAGGCAGGAAGAGAGAAGGAAAGGAGGAAGAGGGGCACACCCTCCTCCTCGAGAGCTGCGCTCTAATTCAGCACTACAGGGAATTGTGAACGTCCTTTTTTTTTTCACGACGGCTTCCACGGGTTTGGCATGGAAGACCGCAAGAGACTGGAAGCTATGGCCACCAATGGGGTGAGAATATTAGGGAGGCGTTCTTGTAGGCCCCGACCTTCGCACGACGATCAGCTCGCAGCCTTTTCACTCAGTGCGCACGGGGCACTACTTGCCCCGACAAATGGGTTCTGCAAAATTTAACACGACATGAAAATCGCAAACATCATGAAGGCGAAATGATTGAAAATAAGAAAATACAGTATTTACATTGATAATGCAATTACTGCAAAGGTCCAAGCAAGCTGGACAAGAATGACGATAATAATCCCTGGAGAAGGAATTATTATAGTTCAGGGACCCCTCCACTGGAAATGGAGAGGTCCCTGGTTCGATACCAGGACCAGGCGGATTTTTTCGGTCGCGCACCAGTCACCTAGCTGTGTTTGAAGAATTGTGTTTGTCCTTCGTCCCCATGGTTCCCCTTCTCCAGCGATTATTATTGCCAGTATTTACGTGATCGTCAAATGTGACGTGTGGTGTGCTGTACTACCGACTGCTCATTGCAAATGCAACATCAACGAACGTAAACAAATTGTCTTGGTATGCAAACGCAAAAGGAGACAAGGGACACACAAAAACACGTCAGACAGGGACAGCGTCGCAGACAGGAACACTGTCAGTGTCTGACTTGTTTTTGTGTGTCCCTTGTCTCGTTTGGCGTTCACATGCCAAGGTGTTTAACCGACACGCCCTCCTAATTCCATCTATGTTAACAGATTGTTGGCGCTATCCGCTGGTAAGCTATGTGAAAAGCCAAAGCTGGCAACATGTTCCTGTTTTTTCTGCGTTGTTTCTATCATTTATATTTTATAAAACCTAACACAGTTTCATATATTGTCAGTGTGTACCTTTTCTCATACCATTGTGGTTTAAATTGCCTGCAATACACTTTATACTATTTAAAGCAACAACAACGTGTGGGAGACGAGGGTGGACGACGACAAAGCAGAGCGCACGTGAGAAGCGGTCGGCCGAAGACGCAAGAGCTAGTGCGTGACAGGGCGGGCTGCACGAGGCTGGGGCCGGGCAGGAACGACGCAGCCGGTCTGGCCCATGGCGATCCCTGGAGCGGTCTACCAGCGAGGTTCGGATCAGGACCGGCGGGAACGGCAAGCCCTGGCCATACCGGCCCAGGCCGTGATGATTTCAGAGTCGTTCCGAAGCAAGACTCGGGCTTTGATGGCTTGGAACAGCTAGCCTACGCAGTGCTGGCGTGGGAAAGCCGATCTGCAGGCACGGACTCCGACTGTGAGCTCTGAACGACGGGCAACAACCAGGATCGGCGGGCCCGGACTACCGCCTCTCGAGGACAAGCAACTGGGAAGTACAGTAAACCATTCGCTGTCTTTTTGTTGCGTCGTCTCACTCCTTGGGAGACGAGCGAAGCACAGGCCAATGGGGCGGCGATTGTTAGAGTGACCACACACATGGAACCCGATCCTAACGGCGGAGGCTAGAGTTGAACCCGGATATATTGAATTCAAAGGGGATCGTAAAATTGTTCGATATATCAATATATTGATGTATGTTAAATTAAGCTCGAGTTTAAATTTCCTAGCGTCTCTGCTAATGCCGAAGGTCGCGACAAACAAGGGCTTAACAAATAGAGCAATTAAGAGCCCCTAAATACAGTAGAGCGTAGTTGGCGGAGACCACAAACACCGCCAGCATAAGCGAAAAAACACAAAAATAATTAAATTAATGAAAGAAAAATGGAAAAGCGACTCATAAAAAGAAAGTCATAAAAAAAGTTAAGCAAGAAACAAAACAAAAGCAAGAACAAAACAAACAAAAAAGGCAAAAGAAAAGAAAATCAACAAAGCAATAACGGCAAAAGAAAAAGGTAAACAAAGATAAGGGGTTGGAAGTGTGATTGCACAACCCTTGTTGCCCACACTCGACTTGCCTTGCGAAAACCTTTTTTTCTTTCTTTTTTGATAATTTTATTTTGGGGCTGGGGAGTCCCGCAGCATCAGCAATGTTCAGGGAAAGGGCACAGGCTACGTTCTGACAGCAAGCACTCCCTGCTCTCCCTATGCACGCACCCACGTGCCCTTCCCCTTGCTTTTGCAATCCCTACTTTTTTTTTTTGTTTATTTTTAAAACTTTTTTTACAACTGCTCTTTGGCTGCATATCTTACCCCGTGTATTCTGGCTTGGCAGTCTGCCAGCCCCTCAACGCAAGGGATCCAAGCGATCCAACCAAACTTTGTTCCCTGTATCGAGTGTCACCCTTATGGTAGTTCAATACAAAAAGACAAGGCAATTATACTAGTATTACATGTGATTTTCAAGGGAATGTTTGGATTGTTTGATATAAACAATAATTCGAAATACCCGAGTGTGATATAATTGGGCTCGACTGTATGTGGAATCGAAACACAACCATGCTGGGCGGAGCAAGCGGAGCGTCCAGTTTTCTTTTCACCACTCTCTATAGAAGAGTGCAGTCTTCTTTTGGTCGCAGCAAGGCAATCATGCTCGATGGACAGTGGTGGTGTATATTGTTGCGGATGACAAAGGATCGACAAGCGTAAAACTGAAAACACAAGATTCAATCGGCCAACTTGTGACAGAAACAAAAGAAAGAGCGTCAAGAAAGCAGCAGCGAGCTTCGAGACGTCCGCTATGTCACCGATGGATGTGATGCTCAGAGACCGCTTGGTGTGCAGGGTGCAGGACGAGCGTCTGCAGCGACGGCTTTCCACAGAGAAAACGCTCACGTTTGACCGAGCCTATGACGAGGCAATAAGACCTGAGAGGGCGGTTCAGCAGCAGTAGGAGTTTACAGCCCCCAGGACAGATCTACCTAACAAAAAATTGGAGTCGGACTGCATCAGATCGGCATTGGACTGTGTCATATTGGAGTCGGACCATGTCATATTGGCGTCGGACCGTGTCATGTTGGCGTCAGAGCCGTATATTGGGAGAGTTTGGCCAGTGGGTGTGGCGACAAAGGTGCCGGAGAGGAGAAAAGTAAATGAAAGGGAAGAGAGGGCCGAAGGAGTGAGAGAGAAAGAAGGGAGCAGAGAAGAGACGACCGCCATTTTTTCGCAACGCTGTCGGAGACTATTCGGAGAAGAACACTGCTGAGGCTACGCGTCCGTCGTCTGCTACGAGCAGACTTATTTTTCGCCTGAATAAAAGTTTCAGGCCATACGCCGAAAAATCTTCATTTATTAGCTTTTTAACCCACCGAGGAATAACAGTACAGTATAGACCACTTACAACATAACCGCTTATAGTGCAGGATCGGGTATAACGCGGTTTTCTGAAACCACCGGTTCGCCTCCCATAGAACTCCATGTAATTACATACCACTTAAAATGCAGGCGCGCGAAGGGAAATACCGGTTATAGTGCGGTTTTTGGCACAGCCCGCCGACCGCGCCGACCAACCGGCACAGCGAGCACGCTTCCCTGTGCGACACTAGATAACGGCACTAGCCTCAAGCGGCACTCGCGGGGCAAGGAGGTTGCTCGAAGCGTGGCTCAAAGAAGCGGGAAGAAGCGAAGAGAGAGGCTTCAATTGCCATAGCGACAGAGGGACGCACGCACGTGCCGTTCACGTGCGTGCGTACCTCCGCTGCGTTGGAAAACAACCGCAACGACAGACCAATTGCAGGTCGAGGAGAAGTGTTCGCACGCGTTGCTTGCCGGTCACAGGCTGGCTTCTTCTAAATTTATCCGCAAACATGGCGTCGGTTGTGATCATCGTCGTAGACAGCGTGGTGGAAGCTCATCGTTCTGCGTAAGAGCGCTATCCTTGACTGTGAATTTTCGTTGTGTGTCGCTATGATAACCCAGCACGTGCTAGAAGGGAAGATCCACCTACTCGTGCGGCGATGTCGTGGCGGCGCTCTCAAGACGGCAGAAACGCCCGTGTCGTCGTGTTTGTTTACTTCGACTACAGTGGTGCTTTCTAAGCATTTGTGTCCTCGAACATCGCCCGGATTTCTTATTTGGCGCATTTCATGCGTGTGCTCAAGTTGAAGGTATTACTGGCGCGTACCGTATGAAGGATGCGAATTTTCACGCGTTTTCATCATCGGAGAAAAGTGATTAGGATTAGCAATCCTGAACGCTCGCAACGTCCGTCCGCAACCCGCGACGCCGTTAAAAGGCTGCGCCAGGCAAAAGCCGCTCATTTCTTTCAAAATGTGTGACACACTTGAGACAGAACTGTACTATAGTCTGGTGAAATAAAGACTTTCCTTAAACTAAGCTTTATTTTTCATCTAACATAAAATAAATTCTTTTACAAAGGTAAGTTGTCTCATGGCATGTATTTTGGCCTGAAAAATTGATGTTTTGGTTATAGCGCGGTACCGCTTATAGTGCGGATTTTCGCGACTCCCGCGACATACGTTATATGCAGTCTACACTGTATGTCATTTTCTTGCCCGAGCCAGCGATATAAAAGGAAATAATCGAGATTTAGATGCCGATCCCACGCATTCCGCTGGGAGAATGAGCGAAAATGGCGGCCCTCCCCGCTCAGCTGGGAGCAGCCGGGAGTTCACGCGCATGAGCTCATGCCTCTCGCTCTGCGCCGCGTGCTGATTGGCTCACTCCGGAGGAGAGCGTTACGGCGGAGATATCATAGACTGACCAAACTCTCCCCATACACGGCTCTGGTTGGCGTCAGACTATGTCCCATTGGCGTCGTACCGTGATCCAGGGACTGTCGGCAATCATGGACGAAAGAGACGCACCCAGGGGAAACTTGGAGCCCTTGCTGTGCTTGGGGGTGAGGGAAATGTTGTCTCCTTCCGAAACACTGAGCCTGGCGGACAGGGCCCGGTGTTGCCGGGGAAACGACGGGGTGGTCTGCCCCGGCAGGGGGCTCGGGCACGCAGAGACGTCCTCCTTCTCGTCCAGAATGCTCTGGAAGCAAAGAGGGCGTCCCAAAGAGTATATGCTTAGCTAGACCCTCTAAGTAAGCTATGACATAGAGCTAACATAATTATCTAGAGGGAAAGGTCCCACGCATTGGGGCTGCTTGGGAACGGCGGGGCATAGACGTGGACATCGGCGGTACCAGTTGGCGGTCCCGATAAGCCCGTATCAGTGGTGACGTCTTAATGTACACAAAGACGCAGCAAAACATCACCGTTAAGGTCTGTACCTTGTTCTTTTCTAGCTTACTTCGCAAAAAAAAAGCCGGAATTGCGCATTTTATTAAACGAAATAAAGTTGACAGGAACTCTGCAACTTCAACTTGCTGCGGCGAAAAAAACAAGCTTAACCTTTTGTCTGCTTTCTTTCTCTGCTCTTCTGTCACTCTTTCTCGTTCTTTCTCTCGGGACTGCCGACGTCAGCGCCCAGGGTTTGCCGCGTTCTGGTCCCACCTTTCCCCCCCCGGCTTCAATTCAGCAATCTTGGCGTTTATAACCACGGTTGCCAGTTGTCTGAAGCTTTGTCCGATATCGCAGGGAACGCTTTTCCCTTTGTCCTCTCAAAATCTTAAAACAGTCCGCAAAAGAATAAAAACAATATTGCCTGGCGGCACATCTCAAGCTCAGGAAGCTGCACATCTTCAAATGGTAACTATTGCCAATTGAGAGAGAATACTAGTTGTTTATTTACAGTCACAAAGAGGTCAACCTGCTGAACAACTGATTTGCTACTTCACAAAATTGGCAATTGCGCCCTCTCTGCGAAGAATGGAGTGCCGATACTACAAGCGTAGCTCATTTCGTGGCTATAGGCTTAACGAAAGCTAGGACGTGCAAGCCAGTTTCTTCCAACACCTCGTAGACGACAAAGCTGTAGTGCTGGACGGGACGGACGGAGTGTCAGCATCTCGTATCCGATCAGTCATGACACGAGTCCTAGCTGAATGCTGATGCACCAATCATGTGATGCTCTTCCATTAGGAGAGTGTGTAACTCTAAGTGGCTAGAAGCCAGCCATATAACACATTCTGCATTAATACATCACTGGTCTCAGGTCTACCGTAGTTTTCTAACTTAATTTCACGGACTATACAGTTTTAATATAGCAAATTGGTAGGCGACTCTGTTGCACACATCAAACGTTCTAGCATTACAAACGTTTAGAGATACTCCCGAGTTTCCAGATGCCAGATGTCTATGTCCACGGAGCCCTTCATCAGATAGTGAAGCAATACTACCGCTAATTGGGCTGATAAACCTGGCAATCTTCCAGAGCCTTCCATACTTGCGAGCTCCTCTCCCTCAGAAAGCACAGGTGGCCGAGCTCCTCTGGTCAATGACCTCCCCACCAATCAGCGTCGGGCACCTCACTCCTCCTCTTTCACCCATCAACAAATCAGTGTCGAACCTCGCGGCCACGCTTTTATCTGTGCTTCACGAGATGCCAAACACCTAGCCAAAGAATGTTTCACATTAAAGTTGTTTACGCGGTACAGACTACATACAGGTGCAAACTATAAAATAACTTGTTTTCAAGATTGTTCATTATGACGAGACATCATGAACTTTGTGAATGAGAGAGTATGTTAATGATGATTTCAGTACAATAGAGGCTTTTCTGTGCGCTAATAAAGTATATGTTTTCAAGGTGTTCTGGCAGCAGATTATGCATAAAAAGTATTTTTTTCTCTTTTTGCTCAAAATTTGTTTTTTCAGATTATACACTGGGTGTGGACTATAGTCCAAAAAATATTGTACTTTTTCTTTAGGAATATATTTCCAGTTTAACAAAAACAGCCTGTAGATGTTAAGTAAGTTAGCATTCAGTAGAGTTACCAGACACCCCATTTTGGCTGGGATAGTCCCACTTTAGAGGTTCACACTGGTCATTCCATCATTTTGTTCGAATAAAGCCATATGCCCAGTTTTCGTGGGAACTTCCAAAATCAGTACCACGCGAGTGGAAGAAAACAAACAATGCTTACTAGTGACAGTGTATCAGAATGAACATACCATAAAATATTGCGGATCCGCCCCATTCCACATTAAGTGCCCATTACCAAATTTGTAAGATCTGAGAAAATATGCACAGTACATTTATAGTATGTGACCGGACGAGTGCCCATCCCCCATTTTTTTACGATTATCTCCAATGTATGAGTGGGGACTTGCCCGGTATTTTACGGTAGTATAAAAATGTTGTCTCGACTAAAGTACTATTTTTAGCTTTTTCTGTGGCTCCACTTGCCAATAAGTTTTGTTCACACAGACATGTGCCTGGGGGCACTCTTCCATATTTCTAAATTTTCTATGCTGAGGATTTAAAGAATGAAGTAAGCGAGGTACTTCTGTACTCCCCCCGAGGAAAGCGAGCATTTTCACGGCGAATTGTATAGTAGCAAAGCTTTTTCTTTCTGTCTCGCTTTGCCTCTCCCCTCCTTTTTCCCCCTTGATGTCTTGTCTTCTACTTTGAGAAGCATGTTCGCCCTAGCATTGAGCGATGAGCCATGAGACTTCTGCCAATGATTCCAAAGAAAGCAGATGAAGCAGGGCTCAATACCTGGGCACTGGGCACCTTCCTCACACCTCTCTTGCGGAAGAAGGACTTTCGGCTGCTCTTTTCAACCGCAGTCTCGTCGATGATGAACACGTTCGACGAGAACAAAGGGTCTCTCATTTCCTCGTGCTCCAGAGACTTTGTGTGCCTGCAGAAACATGAAACTCAGTTTGATTCGAGCTAATTTCAACGAGCATTTGTGAGTTCGAGCACATACGCACACTCTTGCAACAAGTCAATGTTCAGCTAGAATCATCACAAAACAAAACAAGTTTTTCATGAACAGGATATGTCACGGTCACGCATCACTGAGCGTGGCCTTGGCCAATGGCCGCAGCCCTATGTTTGTCAATTTTTGATGCAAAGATTTTCGTTATAAAAACCAACTCATGAGCTAGCGTGTTAACGCAGCTAGGAGGGCACTTCTCCCTCCACCCATTTGCACGCCGCAGCAAATCAGAAGAACCACAAAGAGTATGCAAGAGACGCAAACTCTGGCCGGCACGCCTGGGGAGACTGTCGGTTTAAGATAGGGTAGAATCTGGTTGCTACGCTTTTGAGTGGACCGCGACAAAAGCGTAAGATCAGACAAAGCACAATAACCGATAATACTCTTGGCAGGAATAAATAAAGTGGAACACTCACACAGTAGTTTATCCTGCACGTATAGACTGGATCACACATCAGTGTTGGAGTGTGAGCCACTCTCTTGTAACCACGTTTCGCAAGAGTAAAACACTGAATACCCTCACTTATCCAAGTACTGCCATCGTTACATCGTGTTGCAGGCGCTCCTATCGGATGCCGGAAACGCGCCACCATTTTTGGCTCATGGCACATCCCACATGCGCATGCTCTTATTAATGTAATGTGCCACCGTTTGTGAGCGTGCTCCTATTGGTCTACTGTAAATGCCGGAGTTGTGCGGCCACGCCAAACTAGGTTGGCAGAGACGCTCTGCCTTTTTGGCTCAAGTACGTCCCAGCGTGCACCAGCTTGGCGGTATTTGTTCATAAAATTTATATGAACGACATTGTAACGATTAGCCCAAACACCACTTTCATCATTTACGCTGATGACACAACACTACTTTTTTCAGCTAACATTATCGACACACTTGCAGAAACGACTAACAATACATTGGAATATTTACATGAATGGAGCGAAGCAAACTCTCGACTAATTAATACATCGAAAACAAAAGCGATTATTTTTAAGCCACACAATAAATCGGTAAATAATGACTTGTGCCTTAAACTTGGCCCCTCTAGCACTGAAGTCGTCCCGAATGTAAAAACCTTAGGTGTAATGTTTAATGAAAACATGTCATGGGACTCCCACATTGAAATTGTAATAAAAACAATTTCAAGTGTTGTCGACATTCTCAACAAGTTCCGTTCTAGTTTATCAGTTAAAATTAAGCTTCTCATTTACAATTCTTTATTCATGTCACATTTGAATTATTGTCACTTGGTCTGGGGCACATCAACCACAACTAACTTAGACAAGCTAACGATCCTTCAAAAGAAGGCAATTCCAGCCATAATTAATGTACCACAATCAACCCACACGAAACTATTGCTTAAATCATTGAATGTTTTATCCTTAAACAAACTGTATGAGTACACTTTACTTATTCAATATATAGCAAGTATTAAACAAAAGACGCTTGACATTAGTAACATATCAGAATTAAGAATAAATATTAGACCTTATAAGGTATGTCACGAAGTATGGAAGATATTATTCAGTCGAACCACCTATGGAACTCAAATGCTAAAACATTGTCTTCCTTTTTTACTAAATCACTGAATTGAAAATAACATTATCATCGAACATTTACCATCTCATTCTTTGAAACTCATGTTTCTGTGAATATTGATGTCATACAATTGTGTTTTAGAATATAGAGTGCATTTGTTTTTCCTTGACATCGTAATGTTTAGCCCACTTTTAAACAAATATTTTGACTATTTCTACAGTAATTACTTTTCTTGAATATTTGACTTTTTTTTTTTTCGATTGCTTGCCGTTTGCTAAAAAAGGGGGCGTGAACATCGTCAAGCCGACATCTGTCGGCTTTTTGTTTATGCCTTCAGTGCCTGCATTATTGTACAGATGCAAATAAAAATTATTGATTGATTGAAAATTCAAATTCATCCAGTGCTTTAGGCAAGATGACAAGCTGGCATCACCAATCAGGTATCCCTGGAACTCTTCCAATCTATTGCATATTTTTATATTTTTTTACGTATCATGCTTTCATCTGGTGGAACTGAACTGGTGGAGCTGAACTTAACTGGTACAACTGAACTTAAACCTTTTTTCAATTATATAAGCTTGATCACGCCAACAAAGACTGCTGAGCACAAAATGTGCGATGGGCCTTCCAGGGAAGAGAAGGGAGTCCGAACAATGCCGCCTATTGAAGATTGGCTCTCATTTCTGACACACGCCTTGAGATGGCGCAGCATGACAAGCAAGGTGGCAAAGCGCGCGACCGCGCCTTTGCGCGCCGCGCCACCGAGTTTGCTTTTGCATGCGTTGACCATTGACCCCGGATAGCTCAGTAGGCAAAGCACTGGACTCACTCTCTCAAGATGATGAGTTAAAATCCTGCCAGAGGATCTCAGTCTTTTTATACGGGCATAACACTTTTCGGTGTTGGAATTTCATTCAAGTTAAATGCTACAAAACTGCATGAAAATCGGCTGATAAAACACATACTGTGTTACAAGCAACAGCCGTCTTGCAATATACTGGATGAAAAAATACAGGAACAAGTGAACGAGGGGCACCTGACAATCCTGGTGCCTGGGACGTAGTTCTTCTTCTTGTTGGGCCGGTCTGCACTGTCCAGCATCCCGCTCAGAGCCACTCTCCGAAAGATGCCGCCATGGTTGTCGTGAACGTAGCTCATGAGCTGGCGCAGGTCACAGTACAGCGACTGCACAAAGGATGCCGAGATTGGCCCCTGCCCCTCTCGACTGAGTGGAGGCAATTTGCCTCTAGTCGACCGCAAGAGTTGGCCAATGACCCAAGATGGATGCAAGTATTGTATTTTCCGGGCTATACCGTATTTACTCGCGTATAGGTCGACCTGTTTTTCAAAAATCGCCTCATCAAAACTGGGGGGTCGACCAATACGCGAATCCCGGTATTATATTTTTCAACTTTTTTTTTTTTTCGGGGGTCCCGAAGTTAGGGGGTCGACCTATACGACGTATCGACCAATATGCGAGTAAATACGGTAGTCTGTGGATTATCAGGGTGTCCAGCAAATTATTCATTTGAAAATCCCTAACTTTTCCAGGTTTTCCCTGACAATTTCAGGTGAAATTCCTTGATAACCCTAGAGGCAATTAATTATATATGACCATTACAACACAAGGCATTGAGCACACAATTATTTTGCACGGGCCTAATCTAACGTGCATATTCCGAAATATTTGGGTTCGTCCAGTCCCGATTAAACGAGCACTTTCTTGCCGCTGACATTGTCAGTGAAGAGGCCACTTCCGGAAACACGATGAAAACACGACGTTCAACCACACACAAGGAGAATAGAAGGGTAGGAGAGGGCATGACATCAGCCGCATAGCCTCTACAAGCCATACTCCCTTGACGCCTTGCCTCTTTCTCCTTTTTCCTCCTTACTCTCTTCATTTATCAGCCCAACACAAGCAGGTTATAAGTACTAGGAGGGGGCACGTTGCAATATTGGTGAAGCCTAGTCATAAAAAGTTTAAACTATATTGTGCCCAACGTGACCGCAGATCTCTCTGGAGATTGGTGCGCGTGACATGTCACGTGCGAGATGGGTGGTTGATTGTAGGATTCCTTGCAGGCTTGTGCGTGCTCCGTCCGGTAGGTTTTATCAGATCGAAGGCTAGACGAAGGCTAGCTACGGTCACGTGATGTGGTCATGTTGGGCTGATAAGTGAGGAGAGTAAGAAAAAAAATGAGAAAGAGGCGAGGCGTCAAGGGAGCATGGCTTGTAGAGGCTACGCGGCTAACGCATGCCCTCTCTTACCCTTCTATCCTCCTTGGCCCAACATGACCACATCACGTGACCGTAGCTAGCCTTCGATCTGATAACACCTACCGGACGGAGCACACAGAAGCCTGCAAGGAATCCTTCTACAATCAACCATCCATCTCGCACGTGACATGTCACGCGCACCAATCACCAGAGAGATCTGCGGTCACGTTGGCCACAATATTGTTTAAACTTTTTAGGGGCGAAGCTTCTTAGGGTCTAGTCTTGTCCGTCCGGCGTCCGTGCTCACATCAGTTGCCATCCCATCTGTCTTCTTAAAAAAATGAAAAATGTTTGCGCAGTCGACAGGATTCGAACCTCTGCGGGGAGACCCCAATGGATTTCTAGTCCATCGCCTTAACCCCTCGGCCACGACTGCAGGACGAGTAAGGGCCTCTGAGATGTGGTAGTAACTCAAGAGCTGGGGATGTCGTGGATGAAACGTTGCATGTAGCCGCTCAATGTCTATACAGGAGAGGGCGCTGCGATCAAATACGTATATAATCGCATTAAACTTTGCATGCATTGCATGCAAGACACAAACGCAAACTCAGCACTACCTATGAGCAATAAAATAAAATCAGCACCATCAGCACTACCTATGAACAAAATCAGTATCATCAGCACCACCAGAGCTTCGCCCCCATCAGCATCATTCACCACGTGGAGATGCGGTCATTTTTTTATGACTAGGCTTCACCAATATTGTAACGTGCCCCCTCCTAGTATTTATAACCTCCTTGATCACACACGTCAATAACCAAATGGCAACATGGCCGCCAGATGCACTTTTGGATACTTTCGGCTGAAGGCTTGGATTTGATTGGAGTCTGCGGCTTTCCCAATTGTTACTAAATGTAGCAGCTCTAACTGGATCTAGTTTAGAGTCGCGCTCTCAATCCAACCCAATCCACGGCTTGGACTGGATTTGTCGGTTGTTCTCTTTGGATCGGGTAGCACACTCTACATAGGGGGAGCAGAGCCCGCGCCTCACTCTAAGCAGAATTTATAGCCTATATTTCTGCCCCCAAGTCCTCAGTCTTTGCTCAGGGCACTCGATGGCGTTTCCGGCTCATTTTTCCTGACTGGGCTCGCTTTTTGACAATTCTTCTTACAATTCCCTGATTTTTTCCGCTAATTAAAATTTCCCTGACAATTCCCGGTTTTCCCGGTCGCTGGGCACCCTGATTATACATGTCTAAAAGTTGAAATTTTACTATAGGTGCGGGCAGTACAAGGATATGTTTTTTCTCTAAATCAGTCACCGTGGCAAGACGTGAAGGATTTTATTAATAATTTTATTAATATTATGTATGATACAAGCTTCTCTGTGAGCTAACACAACAGGCATTAGTCAAAGTATGCTGTGCATGATCATTTTTACATTCGGACTAGGCACGGCATGCGTACTATGCACCGGGTGCAGACTATCTAAGGAAGAATTTTTATTTTTGACCGTAACTTTTCTCCTGAGGACTATGCACCAGGTGAGGATTATAGTCCGGAAAATATGGTATTCAGAAAGGCTACCCTTCCCAATAAGCAAACCCTGTGTGAGGCAGTTTGGTGACTTGATCTTTACCCCTTTTCAAGGTTTGCACAAAAAGATCCCTTGTGATATCGCTTCGGAATTTGAGGTTTCGAACGCCTGGGAGCCGCTACTGGTAGCCACACAATGCCAGTCTCTTCTGGTTTTTACCAGTGTGACCGAAGGCTTTCGGAGAGCCGCATCCTGTAGCATACACTCGAAATTGAGAAATGAGCCAATTAAGCTTCCTGACCAGTTAGTGTCAGCCATTCTGATGCAAGAAGAGAAGAAAAAAGGATGTAAAATACAAATGCACGAAAGCTTGTTGGCTTTTGTTAAAGCTTTGTGCCAAAAAATCGCCCCACCCAGTATCAGATTCACGCGACGTCTGACAGCACTCCCTGTGCTGCCACCATACCGGTTAACAAAAAGTGTGCTAGGGTTGCAAACCGAGTAGATGGGAAGCAAACGATTGCAGTGCTTCTAGCAGGATTAGGTGATTTATTGCACTTTATGTTGCCACGACAACAGATTAAAGAGAGCAGGACAGAGAGTGTGGACGGTGCGATGAGCACACATTTTCTCAGAGTCAGGCTGTTTCCATCACTAGGGGAGGATTTGGTGCTGCAGGCAAGCTGTCCAATGCAAATGAGTGAACTGAATCTATTCTACCAGTAAAATATTGCATTTTCTAATGTTTAAGCTTAAGACTTTTTCGAAAGTTTTCGCTGGTATGTTTTATCAAACGGTGCAACTTATATACATATAATGCGATTAATGTAACCTTTGCATTAATTGCATTATCAAATCAAATCAAATCAGTTTATTTTCTGCCACAAAAATACATTCGTGACAAGGGCGCTGGAAAAAAAGCTGCACGTATGCACTTTTTATATGCACTTTTTTTCTTCTTTCTGTAAGCATAAAGTGGCCAAATTGGCCCCTTCATTTATTTACACGCCTGGAAGGAGTAGTAGCTAATCTGGGAGCTCTGCCGCTGATCAAAGGAGCCGGCTGGTATCGATGTTCCCTCTCGAGCTCGCCGGCCTCGAGTGCCCCCGCGGCGCGCGCTGCTAACGTGGCTTGTCTCACGAGCCACCTTATTATTGGTGTCGTTTCTTAGCAACTATAAGTATATACTCGATCTGCACATATTTACTACAAGGTTTCATGTTTCTTGCTTGACTCGTTGGCGAGAATAATGAAACTGGCTCTTGCTTGCACATATGTCGCAATCACAATAGACATATGCGGGATTATCAATGCTGATTCGCCACGCCGACCATATGAGTATATAGGTGCGATTTATGCAACAACATTTTTTTATGAAACGGCCGCTTATAGGAGGGTGAGACGACAGGCGACTAAGAGAAAGGAAACTGCTGTTTTCGGCCCCACCATGTTGTCCTGGTTCTTGAGGTCCTTCCCGCAGCGTGCCAGCCGGGTAACCAGGGCCTTGAAGGTGCAGGTGACCACGACCCCCTCGATGCCCTTGGACGAAGCGCCCCCGGGGCCAGCTCCAAAGTTGTTGGCATAGCCAGTGTGCGTGGCACCCTCCTGACTGCTCGTCGTGCTCGTACGCTTCTGGGCTGCACACCAGGGGGCGCCACGAGGCTGCAATGACTGCAGAGTCTGGAGCAACTTAAAAATGTTATGGCCGAAATAGCTGCGCAGATTGTCAATGAAATGCGACGGCATTTTGCACCAACTTGCACTGCGTGAACATTTTCTTCCGCTTAGGAAGTGCCGTGGAAATTCTAGGAATATTTATCAATGCCTTCCAAAAAGCTTTTTATTATGTTTAAAACCAATTTATATAATTTTCTGATTAACTGTATACTTCCTGCAGATGAGCCTCCCACAACTGACCAACTTTTGTTGTAGCATTACGGCAATTCAAACGTTTTTCTCTCACTATATGTATTTATACCCACATAATAAGACCCTTGCCAACTGTAGTCGCCAATAAGAAGCTAATATATCATATTACTTTCGTTGGGCACATTACCCTCTGTATGCATAATTGAAGTAGGTATACCGGGTGTTTCAGCGGAGACTGAAAAATTTCTTGAGATAGGGAATTTGAGAAAAAAAGAAACTCCTGGGAACACACTGACAGCCACAGTGGACGTCTGGGATAGCAGAAAACATACTAAATAGTTAAATAATTACATGAAATTTAAAAATTAACTTCCTAGTTAGTGCAAATAAGCCTATGGCTTCAATAAGAAACTTTCGAAGCTTCACTGAACACCACTCGATCAACTCATTTTGGCAAGTACAGCATTTTACAGCATTTCAAAAAGACGCTAACTTTGAATGCGTTTCTAGGTTTCAGTTTGCTGCTGAAGTGCACCTTTGTTCCAGCAGCCCTGCTCCCCGGTGGCCAAGGCACAAAGCTACCGCCTCGCCTCTCTCGTGGGATGGAAGAATAACGCACATGCTTTCCACGTCTCGGTCACCAGAAGGCAGGACCAAGGGTGGTGCAAAGATGCGTTTCAATAGAAAATCGAAACCCGAAAACGCGTCCCAATTTTGTGTTTTTTTGGAACGGCACAAAAAATATAAGGGACTCGAACCATAACCGTAACCTGAACCGAAAACCGTTTACAGTATAGACCACTTACAACGTAACCGCTTATAGTGCAGGACCGGGTATAACGCGGCTTTTTTAATCCACCAGTTCGCCCCCTATAGAACTCTATGGAATTACATACCACTTAAAATGCAGGTGCACAAAGAGAAATACCGGTTATAGTGCGGTTTTCGGAACAGCCCGGCGACCGCGCCGGCTGACCGACGCAGAGAGCACGCTTCCCTGTGCGACACTAGATAACGGCGCGAGCCGCAAGCTGCACTCGCGGGGCAAGGAGGTTGCTCGAAGAAGCGGGGAGAAGCGAAAAGAGAGGCTTCAGTTGCCATAGCGACGGAGGGACGCACGCACGTGTCGTTCACGAGCGTGCGTCCCTACGCTGCCTCCGCTACATTGGAAACGGTGGAAACAACCACAACGACAGACCAATCGCAGGTCAAGGAGAAGTGTTAGCGCGCACTGCATGCCGGTCGCGGGCCGGCCGGCCGGCTGCTTCTATCCGCAAACATAGCATCGGTTTTGATTGTCGACGGAGACGGCGTGGTAGAAGCTTATCGTTCCGCGTAAAAGCGCTATCCTTGACTGTGAATTTTCGTTGTGTGTCGCTACGATAACCCAACACGTACTAGAAGGGAAGATCCACCTACTCGTGCGGCGATGTTGTGGCGGCACTCTCAAGACGGCAGAAACGCCCGTGTCGTCGTGTTTGTTTACTTCGACTACAGTGTGTCGTGACTGAGCGTTCCAACGAAGGCTCCCAGCCCGGCGACACTACTTTGTGCCGGGTAGGAGACAGGATCGAGGAGCCGGGAGGCGACGAGCTCAGCAAAACAGAACACACTATATTTACATTAATTACAACATCCTTTGAGTGTTCGTACCACAACAACTTCACGGGTGTCCTTTCTTTATATATCCGCCTCCCATCTCGCCGTCCACTGGCTTGTCCAATCGCAGGGGCCTACGTGGTCCTCGGTAGCCAATGTGGAAGAAGTTTGTGTGCCTGGTGCCAGCCAATGCGGAAGAAGTGCGTGTGCCAACGGCCAGCCAATGCCGAAGAAGTTCGTGGCGGGTCTCTCGGCGTGGTGGCTCGCTCGCTGAAGAGTCATCCACACGCACACACACAGACACGGACACCCAGCTTGTAAAAAGGTTGTCTCGAGAGCCGACTTCTCCGAAGCTCCCGCATGAGCCGCCGGTCGGTGCGAGAGCATGCTTTGGTCGACGGGAGCCAGGGGCACGCGCCGCTCTCGTAAACGTGGTACGGGTGTGTCGTAGCCTTTTACAATAGCTCCTCCGGCAACGGGGAGAGCGTTTTGAGGTAGAGCAGTTAGCAACCGCTCTTCCGAGAGACGCGGTTTCGCTCTCGGGTTCTCGGCAGGAGTTCGGGCACTCGTTCATCCTGGGAAAAGGTAGACACACGGAACAACCACACCAGACCAAACCCCGGGCCGATGAACACCCAGCCCCCTCCCTCAGTCCACCAGACCATCACAAAATAAACAAGCAGCTCATCAGTTCTCCTCAAAGCCCTTGCGCTACGAAGATAAACTAGAGAGCTTAGAAATACTGTAAGCTGAAAAGCTGGATACAACCGACACCCGTGAAAAAAAAAAAACCAACAACGACAAAACAGATTAATTGCCCCCACTATAGCCGGCTCACCGAGATAGTCTGAACACGCCTTGCGATTCACAACAAAATTTTTTCCCCGGAGAATTTCGAAAATTCGCCGCAACTCATCAAGGCTCGCCCTTTTCGCTAGAAGCTACGGCTGAGCCCATCTGCGTTTCCATTAAGCTGTCCTTTTCTGTACTTTACTTCAAAATTGTATTGCTGAAGGATCAAGCTCCACCGAAGGAGGCGGCCATTTTTGGGCGACATGTTTTGTAGCCACTGCAATGGACAGTGATCTGTCTCAATGACAAACTTGGTGCCTGAGAGATAACATGAAAGCTTTTGAACGGCCCAAACAAGACATGCACATTCCTTCTCTGAGGCGCTATAAGCTTCTTCGCGTGTGGAGAGCTTTCGACTAATGTAGAGTACCGGCCGCTCGTTCCCCTCATCATCGGTCTGGCTCAGGATAGCTCCGACCCCGCGATTGCTGGCGTCACACTGCACTACGAATTCCGTCGCGTAATCTGGTGCCCTCAGCACCGGCCCCTTTGTTAGCGCTTCCTTGAACGAGTTGAACGCACGTTCCTTTGCTTCGTCCCATTGAACTATTTGCGGCTCGGATTTTCTGAGGGCATCGGTGAGCGGGCTTGCTATGTGCGAATAATTCTCTATGTAGTGCTGATAGTAACCAGAAAGCCCCAGAAATGCACGTATTTCTGTTTTCGTCTTGGGACGCCGGTGCTCTGCGACTGCAGCAGTCTTAACCTCAGAGGGCCGGCGACAACCTTGTCCGATCACATGGCCCAAATAGCTGACCTCAGCTCTCCCAAGCTGGCATTTTTTGGGCTTGACGCTAAGTCCCGCCTGGCGAAGCCGTTCTAGAACCGCGTGAAGGTTTTCCACGTGGGTTTCCCAGGAATCCGAAAAAATAGCCACGTCACCCAGATAGGGGAGGGCGAAGTCACGAAAGTCTCCAAGGACACGATCCATAAGGCTAGAAAAACAAAACGGCACGTTTTTCAGGCCGAAACTCAACATGATCGGCCGAAAGGTGCCAATGGGAGAGATAAACGCGGCGTACCGACTAGCCCGTTCGGTAAGAGGGACCTGCCAGTAGCCCCGCACTAGGTCTAACGTCGATATAAACCTAGCCCCGCTAACTACCTCTACCCTCTCCTCAATGTTCGGGATCGGGTAGGTTTGATCCCGGGTGATAGCATTTAGCTTTCTGTAATCGATACAGGGCCTAGGGTCTTTCCCTGGTGCTTCAACAAGGATCAGGGGCGATGTGAAGTCACTGTCCCCGGGTTCAATAACCCCGAGCTCCAACATGCGTTTGATCTCTCTTTCCATTATCTCCCAATTTGTCTTGGAGATACTCTGTACGGCCTAGAACGAACCGGTTGATTGACAGTTAGCTCGATGTCGTGGACCACCAAGGTCGTTTTTCCTGGCCTATCTGAAAAGGTCGCTCGAAACTCCCCGATTAACTGGGTTAGATCTGCAATCTGAGCGGGCTGGAGTTTCTCATGAATTATCATTTTTGCGCAGAGCTCTTCGACAGTGAAGCATCCGTCACCTTTGAGGAAGGGGATTTCATGCGGCATCTCCTCTGGCGCGTTCAGAGTTAAGTTTACAATAACCTCGCGTTCTTTGTAAGGCTTCATGAGGTTGCTGTGGTAAATTTGCGTGTTTCGCCGCCTCCCTTCTAGCTCAACTGCGTAGTTTGTGTCAGACAGCTTCTGCAGAACCCTAGGTGGGCCTTCCCATTGAACGTCAAGTTTGTTCTTTCTACAGGGAACAAGAAGCATGACCTTGTCGCCCACCTCAAAAGTATGCAGCCGGGCTGTTCGGTCATAATAGGCTTTTGTCCTGTTCTGTGCGGTCTTCGCGTTCCTTTCCACGATCCCCATTGCCTTATTTAGCCGATTCAACAACTCCAGAATGTACTCGACGACCGTTGGGTTTTCCTTTTGATCCTCCCAGGATTCTCGAAGCATACGCAGCGGTGTTCTCAAAGACTTCCCGTACACTAGCTCCGCGGGACTAAACCCCGTCGTCTCGTGAGGTGCGGTTCTAAGAGCGAACATAGCCGCTGGGAGGCAGGCTTCCCAATCCCTTCTGCGCTCCACACCAAGAGCGCGCAGGACGCGCTTCAGCACCGAGTGAAGCCTTTCCACGCTGTTCGATTGTGGGTGGTAGATGGAGCTGTGAACTAGCCTAATACCACACTTCTCGAAAAAGGTGGTAGTTAGTAAGCTAGTGAAGACGCTTCCCTGGTCGCTCTGAATTTCTGCTGGAAACCCCACCCTAGAAAAGATGGACAAAAGAGCGTCCACCACGTTAGCCGAGGACAGTTCCTTCAGTGGAACTGCC